TGGCCTTTTCATTTATAAATTATAAAAGAGAAAAAGGAAATGCCAATGCTGGCCAATGAAAGAGGCAGATAAGAACATGGTTGTAATTTATTTGAGAAGGGAGCAATGGCTCAAAAAGATCACGTCACGCCAAACAAAGATAGGCCATTCATCCCATTCCATCCCCCCTATATCTAGAATTCTTTCCCTGTAATGAATATTCTGTTGCAAACACCGATACGTCCTCGTTTGGGTAGTTTAAAATTAACTGTTTCATGACCACAAAATTGAAGGAAGCAAAAACTAGTTTGGCCCACTTACAAGAAATCAAAGGTTGAGGCCCAAAGATTGAAAAACAGTTGGAGCCAGATGTTGTACGGAGACACCCAGTTATGCAAAATTTAACATGATTGGGAATGGAATGGTAGAGATTTGGAGACACAAACACAAAGCAGAACCACAGCCATACAATGAACGAGAGGCTATCCATAATCTCATCCTCTCTTATTTTTCCTCTCGTTTTTTATCTCTCACACCATCCTTCTCCACTTCTAGTGCTACTACACCAACAACGCTACTACTACTATTTGAAAGAAAATTTCTGCTTTGTCAGTCTGTTTATTCCTACCGTAATTCCATTATGGCCTCGGCAACTTTTCTGTAGCCACAAACCATCTTTTCAGGTCCACTGCGAGCAGCTCTTATGCTTCAGTTTTATTAACTTATTTCATAACTGAAACCCATGGTTCGATGCCAGCCACAATTCATTTATTAATCCGTCGTTATTTCTCGATTTTTTTTTTTTGTAATGATTGCCTCCAGGGCATCAAGTAGATAAACTATTAAAAATAAATAAATAAATAAAAATGGAGATCATTTGGACTGGACTTTAAAATGTCATTACCATCCCCTAGTCAGCTAGGTTGAGGGATGGCAGAGTGAGGAAGATAATTATTATAATCCCTGATTTATAGCTAAAATTTTATTCTTCCATTAAAACAGATCATATTTTAAAATAGTTTCTTCTATATATATATATATATATATATATATTAACTTGAGAAGGTGCTCGAGAGCAATGTAATAATACATAAATATTAGAAATCTTGAGTTTGATAGATAATAAATTAAATATACATGACGAAAAGAGCTTTGAGCATTATAGGTTGCACCATCCGTATCTATCATCTGACATGATCGTGCTACATCATCCGTAAAGTGTCAATTTGAGTAAATCTATGTCTGTTATCTAACACGATTGTGTTATAATTCTTAATTTACATGACAATTAGTATTTTAGTTATTTAATCAAATTTATTTTTTAACAATCATACGAGTTTCAATAATCTATAAATAAAGGAATATGTATAAGATATAAAAAGTGATTTTTATTCTGCAATTCTTCTCTCAAACTTTTCTCTTTCTAAAATTTTATAATTTCAAGAGAGAGTTTTTAGAAGAAATTTCAGAAATGTCGTCTGCTGTAGCGTTATAAAAGAAGTAATAATCACGGCGTGGATAGTGTTAAGAAATTTCTGCATGTACAATCTTCTGTCTTCGTCTTTTCCAATTTTTACACCTATTATCAAGAACTCAACAATAAAATATTGTTCGATTTAACTGCCGCCAGCCCCATTTCGAAGGTAACATGCATGCAAAACGACTTCCAAATTGAATAAAAAAAAAAAAATCAAGTCTTCCAATTCAATATGCAGCTGCCTACGTACGCGCGAGGTAAAACGCAAAATTACTTCCAGATATGCTGTTGCGTTGAATGATATATTTATATAATGAAATCTCCATCTTACCCATTAAAATATATATATATATATATATATATATATATATAGATTACAATTCTCAGAAGTCTACAAAGCGGTGATCATTGTCTTATTTTGATCAAGTCGCAATATTCTCACTTCATATCTTACTAATTAAGTAATGAATAGACGGATGTCCCCGATTAGGACGGATATGATTAAGTCAACCTGTCTTGATTGAGCAATTAAAAAGATATAGAAATCTTTTTTTTTTAATTTTGGAAGGGTGCATCTCTCTCTGTCTCTCTCTCTTTCGATTTTTAGTAGACTGCGTAGCAGCAAAACGCGCTTAGGCGGAAAAGTAGGAAACTTTCACTATTATTGTCTGAGCCAGCATGCTTATAACTTTTCTTAGCATGCATATATATTGTTTGATATTTTCTTTGAGGCACCGTGATGGAGGAATAGTCAATAACCACTCTTTAATTACTCTCTACATCAACGACCTAGCTTGCGTAGTTAGAAGGATCTTTTGATGGTTGACATATATTATCATTTTCCTCCATGCAATAGTAATGCTGCCAGGAAACACGCTTTCGGGCAGAAAAGTTGGAAACTTGGATTACATATTCACACCAACCGCTAGCCGCTAGCTTCTTTTCCATCCACCGTGTGTGTGATTTTGCAAAATAAATGATTTCATCACATGGAGATGGGCCCAAAGGAAAAAAACTCTTCATCTCTAGTGGGTCTACGTATGATGGTTAGCCATGCATGCATGGGTTAGGAATTGGTAATGCCCTAAACTCCAGGATTTTGTAGTTTTCCTCGTCTTTGAACATGTCAACATTAAGCCATTTTTATTTGATCAAAATAAGAGTTTGTTAAAATTGTTGAAAAATTAGAGGCATATTCGAAATAATAATATAACGAAAATTGTCTAGAATTCTCAAATGATGATCTGCAGGTAAGAAAGTAAAAACACCTTATTGGTGACATGGATTCATTCTCCATAATTAAGAATAGAGTTCCAAATCTATATACATATGGTCTAGTTTACATCTAAAAAGGATTGTAATTTGTGAATGGCGAAAAACGATAAGAGAGAGTTGTGGGGAGAGATCGAAAGTAAACAAGGAACAAAGTTTTTCTAGTTAATTGAATTTGGGGTTGATTTTTGTCCAAAATAGTGGACATAATTTTAATAAATATATATATAAAAACACATTTTTTTCCTTCTGTTCACGCAAGTCAACGTTACTGCTCTATATATAAGTAACTCTCCAGGCATCATATGCTCACACACCAAAGGAACATTATTAAGCTTTTAGTAGCTTGTTAATTCCAGTTCTAATTACTGATCAGGAAGCTCGTCATGGGCTCTACTACTCACTTCTTTGTTACACTTTGTGTTGTATCACTCCTATCGGCCCCCTTTGGCAGCGCCCAGCTTTCTGCCACCTTTTATGCTTCCTCTTGCCCTAATCTTCAAACCATAGTGCTTAATGCAATGCAGGGGGCTGTTAATAGGCAGCCTCGGCTTGCCGCCTCTATCCTTCGCTTGTTCTTCCATGACTGCTTTGTAAATGTGCGACATATATCTCTCTTCTTAATTAACTTAATTTTCCCACCTTAATTGTTTAGCTTTCTTAATATGAGATTAATTTCAACTTAATTCATCGTTATAAAGCTTTCTTTTATATATATATATATAAGCTTTCTTTGTAGAGGAATAATTAATAATATCATTAATGATCTGTTGTTGTAGGGTTGTGATGGATCTATACTACTTGATGACACAGCCACTTTCACAGGTGAAAAGAATGCAAATCCCAACAGAAATTCAGCTAGAGGTTTTGAAGTGATTGACACCATTAAAACTCAGGTAGAAGCGGCTTGCAATGCCACAGTATCTTGTGCAGATATCCTTGCACTTGCAGCACGAGATGGAGTTGTATTGGTTAGTTCTTCTAGTTTTTTTTCTCCTTTTCTGTCTAGTTGTTTGTTTCTTTTTCGGTCTTTGAGCAATCAAAGTTCAATTTTCAAAACAGGTTAAAGAATTCTCTTTTGTAAATAACTAAATATATAGTATATTTTTGGTTGACTATATCAAATGCATGCACGCAGCTAGGAGGAACCTCATGGACCGTACCACTTGGCCGGAGAGATGCAAGAACAGCAAGCCAGAGTGCTGCCAACAGTCAAATTCCATCACCTGCCTCTAGCCTTGCAACCCTAATCTCCATGTTTGCTGCCAAAGGCTTGAGTGCTAGTGACATGACTGTGCTCTCTGGGGGTCACTCAATTGGCTTTGCCAGATGTACCTCATTTCGCAGCCGCATTTACAATGACACCAACATTGATGCCAACTTTGCCACTACTAGAAGGGCTAATTGCCCTGCTACTGGTGGTGATGCCAATTTAGCACCACTTGATAGCACTCCAACCAGATTTGACAACAATTATTACAGCAATCTTGTGGCCCGACGTGGGTTGCTTCATTCTGACCAGGAGCTCTTTAACGGAGGTTCTCAAGATGCACTTGTTCGGACTTACAGCACAAACGGTGCTAACTTTGCCAGAGATTTTGCTGCTGCCATGGTGAGAATGGGCAATATTAGTCCCCTTACTGGGAGAAACGGAGAGATAAGAAGGAATTGCAGGGTGGTGAATTGATTCTATCCACTGATTTCATTTTGTGGAATATAACTATTTTCATGTTTGAATAAGTTGTTTGCATCGAAGTCAAGACCTCTAGCTAGATTAAGTAAGTCCAAGATTTTGAAAATCTCCCCCGGGCATGGCTAGCTGTCGTAACTTTACTGAGATTGTGTAACCTAAAAAGCCTTTGTACTCAATCCATGAATGAAAATGAAGTACTACTATATTTTACATCAAAGATCATCATATTGTTCTTTAGAATGCTCTTTCATTCAAAAGCCCAAGGCATGAAGCTAGATCGACGTCCTAAGGAGGACCAATTTTACTTTAAATGCTTAATTTAGGGCTAAGAGATTATGCCATTAAAGCACCTTGAACCGGCTAAAGGAAAACAATCCCTACTTCATAATGAACCCCGTTTGGTGTTTTGGCATCAAAGTTGTGTTTAATTAATATCTGCTTTGTGCACATATTTCTTCCCAAGAAAAAAAACCTGTTTTGATTTTAACCAAAAAGGCAATTGCTTTTCTGTGATAATGGGATCCCTTTTTCTTTCCAGACAAAAGGAAAAATTATCCTTTAGTTCTTCAAATAAATTAGTCATGCATGGGTGGATGCTGAGGATGAAAGTGCAACCACCTTTTTGATCTTGTGAAGAGCCGACGCCCACTGTACGTGCTGATGGTCAGTAAGCTAGTCAACCACTTATGACCGACATATTGCACCGACGCGCACTGTGGTGATCGTTGGTACGTAAGCTAGTCAGCCACTCACGAGCGGCATATTGCACCGACTAAAGAAAAATCCAAATCCCTTGGAGATTCTTGATGTTTCTCCATTTCTCCCTCTCATTTATCTTGAATTCAACCCATTATTTTAAGCTAGGATGATTTTTAAGTTTAACATGAACCATTGGATTTATGGGTGAGCCTTGTCCCATTGTAGCCATTGCATGATCGTAACTTTAGATCCTAGCTAGCCATATTCACCTAACTCACCTGACACCTGTAATCTGCCACTTCTTGTTAAAAATAAAAATGATCATAACAATCAATCATGCACTTCGTTTTCGGATCAGTTTGGACGCACCGATTTTTTATTTTTATTTTTTAAAATAACAATAAAGCTCCAATCATTTCGTTCTTTTAATGGATGAAAGAACTTTCTTTCTGACAGGATATGATCATCTAAGACACGTAGAAATATGAAATTTAGGTGAAAAAAGCTCTGGGCTTCCGAAACCTACAAGTCAACACCAACGCAAAACCATTAAGCTAAGAAAATTTATCGTTAAGGTATGGTCACAAAAACTCAAAACTCTTAATTATATGCAATTAATTGATACTCTGAATATTATTTATGGTTTCATATTCCATTTCTTTCTCCTCTTTAGTTCCTTTCAGATCTTAGGTTTAGGATATGAAATTAATCCTACAATTAAGGTTACATAAGAGCATCTTGTCGTATGTACGTAATTAATGCATGTCTTCGAAATGTTGCCTTCACATTTTGAAAACCATGCTACTAACACTGTTATATCTCTAACTAACCATTAAATTAGAATCTAACTGCTTCCTGATTCTCCAACTACGTGGCTTTTGATATGTATGCACTTAATTAGGGATACCCCATAAGCAATAGTTCATATAACCTTTTAATTAATTAAGGACAAAAAGTCTTGCTTTTACACGAAATGTATGTATTAATATTTACACCTTCCCACCTAATTAAAGTCCTCTTAATTATTAATTAGATTTTGACTGTGTTAATTAGACCGACCAATTGTTTTTGCTTTAAAACTTTTCTTTACAAAAGATATTAATTTTCAAGATGGTACGTTTTTTTTTTAAAAAAAAAGGTGGAGACTCTTACTTTTCAAAACTCTATACATGCCAATAAGATCAATCCTCGGGAAATTATAAGAAGTTCACATTAATTAGATAATTACTATGTCTTTTTCATGAGTTTTTTTTACTAAATTAGAGTGTTTTTAAACCTTTATTCTTAAAAAGAGAAAATTTTAAACTTAATTCTCAAACTAGACATTTTTTTGTCACATAAGATATTTTCATCTACGTTACTTTTTCCTTACTGTAATCAATTTGTCTTCTTCTCCAATGTTAAGCATTTTTTTGATTCTTATAACCAACTGCAATCAATTTTAATGCTTTCTAAAAAAGATCAAACATCTCAATAAAAAACTGTCTTCTCCAACTCGATCATGTGTGTCTCGTCATCTTAAAAAATCACACATAGCAGAATAGCATAAAAAAAAAGAAGAGATATTGACAATGAAAAACATGGTGGCTTCTGCTCTGCTTTGAAAGCAAAGGAGACAAAGAGGGACCATTGGCATCAATCGATGTAAAGCAGCAAACAAATATCATTCGTCACTTCCGAACATAAATCAATTTTCTGTTATGATTTTGAAAAAGTCGTTTATGTTTTTCTATAATTTGTGAGCAAAAAGCAAAATAAATTCAATTTCAAACAACTGTCTTGGAGTCCAGCAATTCAACTAGACAGCACTTCCAAATCCTAAAATAGATTTAAGGAGCTAGTCGTTAAGTACATCAATTAACTCGTGTTTTTTGAAAGCGACAGTTTATTTATTTGTTTATTTTTTACATGGAGAAGACAACAAAGTTATATAAGGTAATTGTATTTTTGGTAATCCAAAATATATATATGCACATGTATGATGTAAAATTTTTTATGAACTTAAACTAAGGGATATCGTATAAAAAACAGAATATCGATTTTTTTTTTTTTTTATCGTATATGGCATGGACATCGGTATTTAAAAAAAAAAATTATTGAGATTCTTCATTTTTTTTTTTTACTCGGTTGAAATTTTTTATTTAAAATCTTTTATTTAATTATTTCTAATTTAACATGTTACGTTACTGTTAAACTCTATATCTACCAGTAATTCATACATGACATTCAATAAATCCGTATGAATTATATATATATATATATAATAAAACAATAAAAATAAACGTTAAAAGACCAAAACAACCCCAGCCCCAATTATTTCCCAACCCCAATCAGAAAACCGCTCTCTCTTCTCATTGTCTCCATCTGCCTAATTTTCCATCGAATCTCAATCGAGTACTTGAAAATTGTACCAAATAATGGTCAATTCTGATCTGGTTTGTTCATCCAAGTGCTTGAAAATTTTCAATCACAAGGCACGGTGGAATTTTACGTCTCGCTGCACTTTATAGGAGCCTTACACTGAATGGTTTATGTATTGGATCAAGCCTTGGCTTTTCCAGCGTTGATGAACTTCAGCAGCCTATACCCATTAGGAAAAAAGGAGAGCCCTGTGCCACTGATTCCCCAAAACTACAGGAAGAAGGCAATTGGGGAAATTTTGCAAGAGAAACTGTCTATGCACTACAGAACATGGGATCTCTATTACTTTGGTTAGGATATTTCCCTTTCGTACTCCATTAACCCCTGCCAAATTCCCAATTAGGTTGCTGAAGTGTTGAATAAGTTTAATATATCCACCTCGTGTTTAACAAAATTATCCTCACAACAACCTCTGTATTTAGATATTATCAATAACCAACCTTATATTATTAAAAGTTGATGTAAATTAACTCATCTATTATACTTTTTTATTAATTGATATTATCAATAACCAACCTTATATTATTAAAAGTTGATGTAAATTAACTCATCTATTATACTTTTTTATTAGTTTGACTAATTTTTATTAATTGATTTACGAATAACCAATACAATGTCGACACCTATTATTTTAAGAGTGAAAACATAATTTTGTTTTTGATTTTGATTTTTCTAATTTTGTTTTAGGTTTAAATCATTAAAAAAACCATTGTGTTAATGAGCGAAGGAAGTATTAAAAAAAAATCATTTATAACAATAGCTATTATCCAGTATTCTTAAATTTATACATCAAGTTATTATTTAAAGCCATTTTCACCTTAACCCTGTGTTCTCGGTTTCTAAAGTTTAATCACAAAGGTATTTGGTTTGCAAATACAAACCTTGTAACTATGTCAATTTTCATAAATCAATGTAACAGATCATATGCAATTTAATGTTGCTTTGTTACAGACCTGATTTTGTCCGCCATTAGCCTCCTCAACAATTTTATGTGAGAACCTCATAGAAGCAAAAATTGTAAGGCACCCTTGGAGTGACCATCTTATTGCCCCTCCCAAGTCATAAACTAGCATGGGGGAGAAAAATTATGACCTTATTTTTGCATGTCTGACTCTATGTGTATGATTTCTTGGACAATTCGAGATTGCTTCAGCAATGAGCTTAGGCAGGCTTCGTGACCTCATTGATAGCATTTGCCAAATATCCAACATTGCCGGTAGTAACACCTGCCATGCTGCATACGTTGTCAGGATATTAGCAAACTTAAAGATCCTCATGCACACATAACACACACACACACACACACACACACACAAATCAAACCCAGGCATAAAGAGGAGTAGATGCTGGTCTAAGATGTTCATGATCGAGAGCAAACCTTATTCGACCATTACGGGTCATATAGATATGAAATTCTTTTGTCAATCGGTCAACTTGTTCAGGTGTCATCCCACTATAGCAAAACATGCCAATCTGTTTGCAATAAGCAGTATGCTTGGTAAATACCAGTAAGTAACAGAACAAGCTGAATATCAAAATGAACAACCAATATAAAGTTACAAGGAATTTAGTAATGAAATTAAAAGGTTTTCGCACACCTGATCAGTGATGTGCTTCCATGACAAAGGCGAACCCAACTTCTCAAGGTTTTCTCGTAGCATAGTTCGCATTCCAATTATGCGATCAGCCATTACCTGATGAGAATAGTCAGTAACAATCCGATTACTTTTTTTTAACAATAATATAAGAAAGAAGTGATGACAAAAAATTTAGGTGATCCTTAAAAGGTGAAGTGTGGGGCTGATAATTCTCTTCCAAGAATGTTCAAGTTTTTAATCTTTTTCCCTCTTATTCTGTTTTCAGGCTTTCAAGATGCATCCAACTAAATCATACGGATGGAAGCTTCACTACCCAAAACTCTTGTCTTTGGCAGTCATGACGAATCTAAACATCAGGTTGCATGTGAAGTGTGAATGCATCATCATTCAGCATTGCATCGATGAAAGAATTGGTGTGTTTTAAAATTTTCACTCCATGGTTCAGCATTGCACCAACGAAAGAATTGGTGTGTTTTAAAATTTTCTCCATGGCTGGATCATTAACTTTACAACACAAGTAGATTTCAGATGTATAAATTTCCTTGTGTGCATATAAAGCTTAAAAACACTGCCACGCTATAATGCAATTGAGACAAAAAGGAGGAAGAAACCCAGCAAAGATATAATTACCTTCACTTCCTGGAGCCACAATTTCTTCAACTCGGGATCTCCAAGGATAGTTGACACAATAAGTGCACCATGAACAGGAGGATTGCTGTACATAGGTCTTGCAATTTGCTGCAATTGACTCTTTACAGCCACTGCTTGTTTCTCATCTTCACAAAGCACACTGCAGGCAATATTTAACAGCATTAACTTTGAAATGTGTGAGAGAACCCTTTCAAAAAAGCTTCAACTGTCTACTTAGAAACAAGCAATACTAAAATTATTCTGAATATAAGCATAAACATCTCTCAGGTGGTAATGGCACAATAGAGGTGTGCCTTGCACTGTGGCTCATTTCATGCATGAAGTCCACCATACTCAAGGACTCAACAGCTCTCTTTTGCTCCCATCAAAAGATGTTGAGAGATTTTTTGGCTTAAGAACTTATGACTAAAGCCAGAAAACTCAGAAATTGTACATTTCATTACCTGTAGTATACACAATAGCAGAGACCTTTAATAGCAGATATTGTATATTGTGGACTAGGCAAGGAATAGGAAGAAACCATGTTTTGAAAAAGATAAATTTATCTCAAGGGAAACTAAGAATTGTAGATAAGAGAACCTAAATTTGACTATATGATTATTAATGCCAGATACTCCAGCTTTTCGAAAAAAAAAAAAAAAAAAAGTGGAGGCTATGCAAATAATAATAGTAACAACAGTGTCCCTCAACCAAATCTACATATGACTGGGAGCTGAGGTCATGGGAATAATTAGGAAGCAAACCCCTTGGTTGTTATTAACCAAGGATTTCAAAAGAAATGTTGTTATCCCACAATGTTCAGGGAATCTGGGAACATGACATTCATCAGAGATAAGCAACCAGCACATTATCTTTCAGGAAAGATGCTAAAATTAATTTCATAAGAAACTTAATATAGTTTTCAAACAGTTCATCCTAAAAGATCATGCCCAAAATCCTGCTAACTCCTGAAAATATGCAGTTGGTGTTATAAATCCCTTGCTTTTTGTGCAACCTCCTTCTGTTTTTATGTAATAATTTTGTTATGTTTCATATCTTTTGAGCAATTAGCCCATAACCTGTTGTTTACATGAGCTAAAAGTGCCTCCTTTCTAGCCTTTCTTTTTTTTTTCCGTTTACAAAAAGGAGGGGATCAAACTCAGACCTCTTGGAAGGAGGGACACATGGGTGCCAGTTGAGCTACAAGCTCATTGGCTTTCAAGCATTTACATAAATGCATCTTTAAAAAGAACCAGCTAATAGCCCCACCAAAATGTTAAAAATATTTATCCCCCCCCCCCACAAAAAAAAAGAAAAAGAAAAAGGCAACAGAAAAGGGTATGTATTCAGATCAGATGGTAGGAACACAATACCTGAGGCATCCTACTCTCTGGCCATAGAGTCCCATATTTTTTGCATATGATTGGGAAATACCAATATGATGACCATCCTGGAGAAAAATCCTAATGGACTTTGCATCTCTGTTTGGATCACCACTAGCAAATCCTTGATATGCCATATCAAAGAAGGCAAAATGACCTTTAGCCTGTAAATTACATGATGTTTGATGTCAAAAAAACAAGTACAGGAGAGGAAATTCAAAGAACAAAAAGGCAGGAAAGGTTTACCTTGAATTGGTGCGAGATCTCTCTCCATTGTTCTTCTGATGGATCAACCCCAGTAGGATTATGTGCACAGGCATGAAGTAGAAAGAATGAGCCATTGGGAGCATTCTGCAAAGAAGATGTTCATATTCATTCCACATAACAAAAGAAAAAGGTGACTAGTAATGAGGATATAGATATAATAAGCAGAGAACTGAAACAGAACATGTTAACAATTGACAAGAAAAAATAACATGTTTGACTTAGTCAGAAGATCAAAATCTGCCTCAGATACCTTAATGTCATCCATCAGGGCAGCAAAATCTAAACCTTTGGATTCTGGGTGGTAGTAATGATAAGTCCTTTGAGGGACCTGAGCATCTCTCCAGATGTTGTGATGGCTGTTAAAGTCTCGTATTAGAAACCCGTAGCTAAGTAATTAAAAAGGGAGAGGAAAGAAGATGAAAAGCAATTTTCTAACTTGATGGCTAAGTCTAGTCCATCACCATTATAATAAAAAAGTTAGCAACACTAACTTGGACCATGTCGGGACTGGTATGAAGATCTGGGAATCAGGACGAAAGCGCTTCTGAAAGTCTGCGAAAAGTCGGCATGCACCAGTACCAGATAGAGCTTGCACTGCAGCTATCCTTTTATCTTTGATAAACTCAGAATTCTCTCCATATGCCAGCTTCAATGTTTCTTCCACCATTTTCACACTCCCTCCCATAGGAAGATACTCCCTAGCCAACAAGAGGCAAAAATATATAACCAGTAATCAGTCAAAATGACAAGAAAACTAAAAAATGATCGACCTTTAAAAAGATCTTTAAACTGTTTTGTTCTGTAAAAGTACACAGTCAATTCTTAGGCAAAACGGAAAAAAAAAAATCAAAAACTTCTAAAACAGAACAGCAAAGGAAAGATGGAAGCACAAACAAACAAGCAAGTTCTCAAACTTCTAAAAATGATGGTGGACAGCAAAGAATTGCCAATTTTTGGAAGAATATACTTTTACGGTTTTTTGGTTTGTATGTTTGTGTTTTAATTGCTTTAACACAAAAAGGTGTCAGCCTCCCCTGAACTTAAGTAAAAGTGCAATCAGTCCTTGAACTAAAAATTTTGATGTTATTTAAAATTTTATGTTTATTTTTTTAAATTTAATTTTAAGTGTTTGAAGTTTTAATAGCAGAGAGAGACCAGTTGCCAAGGCTGTAAAAATTTTAAACTCGATCCAATATCAATTAGGTCGAGCAATTCCATCGTTGAAGTTCAACTAGTGGATCATCGTTTGGATTGCATGGTTAATTACAAAACACTTAAAAAAAAAAAAAAAGATAGTAAATTTCGAAAAAACAATATCAAGGATATTGCAAAACTTTTACAAATATCCTCCATTTTTTTGTTCAATTTAAACATGCACCAACATAGAAGGGTACAACTAACTAATCATAATAAGTTAATAACCAAGTTCCAAACACTAATTAAACATACAAATCCCATTTTCTAACACATCCAAGAATCAATATGTGCATTTAATCATTGATAAATATCAAGATCCATGCTAAGCTAAATCCTATGTCCATATGCCTATTACTTGAAACTATAATAATGGAAGCAAATAATAAATTAATATGAATCTAAAATATCAATATGACTGAATGAAATTGCAAAATATTTTCAAGACAAGCCCTCTTTTTAACTGGAGACGAAACAGAAACTTCTCAAGTATTATTTTATTTTGTAAAGAGTGAGAGCTAGCTTACATTAATTCTACATACTAGAGCTTGATTATTAGTGAAACATGGCTGCTATAGCTTGAAAGAAAATGATGTAAACAAGACTTGTTAATATATTAAGGGATTATTTGGCTACCATAGATGAAATATTGAGAATGGGAACAAGATTATTTTGATGAAATGAATGAAAATTAAAAGTGGAAATAGGAAGATTAATATCTTATTATGATATTACTTTTGTCAAAAAATGATATATTAATTATTATTGTTATTGTTGTTCGTGATACAGTAAAACTAATATTCCAACCACCATTTCAGTGGCAATGCTGGTGACAGTAAACCTTTTTTTTTTAAAAAAAAAAAGTGACATAACGCACCACATCAACTACTACCATCTACACCAGGACCACTAGTGGTTGTGATGGATCACTGTGACTCCTATTGCTGCCATTGCAACTATTACCCCAACCATAATCATTGTACTATACCATTAGCTATTTTCATTACTTGTCACCACCATGATCATAATTGTTATGACCACTGTTCGCACTGCCTCCACACAACAGTAACTATTGCCACCATTTGCGATGGATTTTGATTTTAATCTTTATTCTTTTCATCTTAAAAAATTATATAAAAATTTGAATTTCATACCATTTCCAGCATATTATCCAAACACATTAATGAAATTAAAATGATATTTGATTCCTTATTACTCATCCCATTTCGTCCATTCACATTCTAGGTTTCTGGTTCTTGGTATCTAAACAGCCCAAAGAATTTGAGAAACTTTATGCCATTGAGTCTAAAGCCACCTCCCTCTTAAATAAATTCAATAGCTTTTGTCTTTATCTCTATAAATAAAAAATGAGTTTCAACATCTAAGCAAATTTCACAACTCAGGTCATGGAAAAAAAAAAAAAAAACCACCAAATTTCACTTGATTTGACCTAGTTAATTATATAATAGAAAAAAAAAAAAGGTGTTATTTCCACTCCACTTTAATTTTTGTTTTTATGAGTTGACCATATTGTCCTTGATACATCTCACAGGATCTAATATTTTAAATATCTTAGTTACTGTTAAAAACCAAAATAACTTGAACTATGAGATGAAAAATAAATGCTGCAGACTAAACTCGATATTGCACAAGACTAAATTTTTAAAAACAATGAATTTTGAAAAATAAATGACATTTTATTGACAAATTGATTCAAGAGTAAGATAAAAAAATATTTCATACAAAATATATATATATAGAAGTTACATTTCTCGCTATTTAACATAAATTCATCATTACCAAAAAAAAAAAAAAAACATAAATTCATAACAATAGAAGAAATATGATCATTATAATAGATAACGGAAGTTTGGAGGACTAAAATGGACATAATAAATTTTAGAAACTTTAGAAGGATAAATTGATGTCTTGGGAATATAAATGTCGAGAATGAGTAAAAATTCAGTGATAAACAATCATTTCAGTTAATGGAAAAAAAAAAAAAGAAAAAGAAAAAAGACAAAGAATATACTAGCAGTAAAAGGAGCTTTTAGCTTTTTTGGTTGTATGCTAATTTTAGATGTAATTCTCACATTTCATATTCTTTCTTTTTTATAAAAATAAAAAATACACTGGGGGTAATATTGTCTATAAATAGATGAGGTAACACCATAAAAGGGGGAAAAAAATACAACCTTTTCTTTTTTCAGCGGAGTACTATACTTTTCTTTTGGATGGAAGAGAGAACTGTTCTTTATATCTGGCACTTAAAAGTGGGCCAAAGGAATCGAATTAAAGGTGGGCAATTAACAAAAAAACAAAGTGGCCTTGATAGGTTCCTCCCCATGGCATGACGCAAAGGACCACCAGCGCATGTATATTTAAACAATTACCGGATTAAAATCGCACATTTAAAAATAGCACAAACTGATCAGACGAAATAATACTATTAACTAATAGAATAAATAAATCAATTAATTAATATTAAAATAAAATGACTCACATGTTCAAGTTGCCGGCGATCCTCCTCTCAGCTTCTCTGACGCATTCCAGAACAACGGGCTTTCCATTATCATCTCGATACGCACCCTTTATCACCATCATTAAATTAAATCTCATTAATCTTTCATTTAATAATGCATATCAATCCTATTCTTCTACTACCAATCCAAATAAATAAATAAATACTCCATAAATTAAAACACCAAACAAATTCAGCTTCAATCTGAGTTCTATTGCCCAGGAAAAAAAAAGGACAAACAAGATAGACAAATTATCTACAAATCTAAGCTTTCACCTTTCAGATTCAGTGAAAATTAATACTTCAAAAAAAAAAAAATTCCAATCCAATCCAACAGTCAACAAAGGAAGCAAAGAAAGGAAAGGAAAGTACTGACAACTCCAACATTGACTTTTTCAGGACTGGGATCGGCAAGAAAAGCTTCAGTTACACCTAGAATGGGATCCTTAGGTGCAGGTTCAACGCTCTGCCACCACGACGACATGAATCTCGCTCCTGATCTAATTTGTACCTGCTGATTGACAAACCGGCGACATGCCATCGCTTTTCCAAACCCCACCATTCTATCTCTCTCTCTCTCTCTCTCTCTCTCCTTTGATCTCTTCTACTCTTCGAAAGATCAGACTACTGCTGCTGCTGCTTGTTATGGAGTTGTTGGCAAACTTAAAAGATAAAAACGATGCGAAACCAAGTAGATTGCCAAGTTGCATAAATGGTTACGGTAGCCTTGAACTGCGTGAAAAACCGACTCGTGTTTTGTCTTTTTCAAATTACTATTTTGCCCTTTTTGAATATTTATCCTCTTTTTTTTTTTGTCTGCCACATCACATGAACCCTATCTGAAATTGGATTTGTAAATGTAATCAACAATACTCCGTTAAGGAAAAAAATCTATTTATGCGTGACTAATTTGGCAGATAATTGAATTAGTTAAAGTTTTTTACCCCGACCGATTTTAATTTAAAACAAAAATTTTCAGTATTTTAAAAAAGAAAACATCTACATTATCATTTTATTGCAATTTCTATAATTATTTGAAAGCATTATAAGTTGAAGTAACTAAATCAAAACGTTTGTTTTCATTAAAAATGCTATTTATACAGACAATACATATTAAATTTTTATATAAAATAATAAACGGTAAAGTTTAAACCCAAAAAAATAAAAATAAAAAGAATAATTATCACATATGTGTGTGTATCATTAGTTTATTAATAAGAGTTATTTCAACTAAAAAAATTATTCTCTTTATTAAAGTTATTGTCATGTTTTATTCTTCACATGTATTAATAAAATTATTAGTTGTTATATCATATTATCATTTTGTATTCATGTTTTTTAAAAAAATATCTCATTTTTTATTGATGGTTTTTTTTATAAAATGAATTTTAATTAGAGGAATTATAAAAAAAATATTATTTGATATTTTAGCAAGAAATCATTTTGGAAAAAAAAATAGAAAGCAAAGCATATTTGAGACAAAATGAGTACTAATTTCCTTTTTTAAAAAAAAAAACCTCCAAAAAAAAGGAAAAAGAAAAACCAGAAACCAGAATCCAGTTTTCCTTGAAAGGTGGAAGGGGAGGCAAGTTGTCCACATTTATTCTCCAGAACCCTGTTTGGGTATTGTTGAAAACAACATGAGAATCCAACCAATATTAATCTTTGATCAAAGTGCAAAGGCACGTCAATTCCTACCATTCCTTATTGCTAACCATTTTTTTTTTGTAATATCTGTGATAAAAGTTACATTCTGAATGACATTAAACATGGTGTTGAGGTCTTAGTTTGCGTTGGGATAAAATAATTTATGAATCCGAAATGCACGAATATATGGTACAAAACTCTCCAAAACACATGCATAACTTGTAAAGTAGGGTAACTCATAAATAACTTGTAAAGTATATAAGGTAACACATAAATTCTATATAGCAGTAAATTTGTGATTACAAAAATCAAACGTATAAGAATGATATTAATTTATTAAAGAGTAGAATGATATTGAAACATACAAAATAAAAAACAAGCTCTTTGCAAGCATTAACTTCAATATTCTTATAATATGAATGAGATTTGTGAGACTATCCTAATTTGTCTGGAACTAAAAACAAACACACACTGGATTTCGGTAAAATAAATCTTAAACTCTAAAATATAGAAGAATATATTATATAAATATTCAAGAAATGCATAACGCTTAAAGTAGGTTAACATATAAATTAAATGGAAAATTTTATTTTGCCCCTCTAAGTTTATATGTTGTCTTAATTTCATCTAAAATCTTTGATTTGTTCCAATCAATCTCCACATCTTTCATTTTTGTTTTAATTTTTTTCATCTGCCCATTTTTGTCAGGAATAGTAACAAAAAATATATGTAAATTTCAATTCTTTCACTAAAGTATATGAAATATCTCAGTATTGCTCAAATAAAGGTACATCAATTATCTCAATATCGCTCAAATAAGGAAAAAATTAAACAAAATGACATGAAACTAATAAAATTAGAAGATCTATTGAAAAACACATTTCTTTGTCAGTATTACTGTTAAATAAAAATTAAGTTTCAAATGATTTTTTCTTTTTTTCAGTTTCATTGAAGACGCTATTGTAGAGTTTTATAGAAAATTGAATAAAACTTGTAGATATGATATGTTAGTAAGAGAGTCATATTATTTTTAACCTATGTAGATGTAGCCATAATGGCACCTAAGCAAGTGCTTAATTTTAATGGAAATTTTAAATGAGAATTTCTGAATATTTTTTAGACAATTGAGACAAAAAAAATTGTCAAGAAGAGCGTGAACAAAAGAAGTAAAGTGTGAACAAGAAAAGAAGCCATATGGGAATAGTTTTTCTGAGGAATGTTAGAAGAGGGTATTTATAGGATTGTGAGCAAGTACTGATGAATATTGTAGTGTGAGATTGGCTTTTTGATGTGGCAAAGTAATCATAACTTGAACCTGGTGTTGCATTAAATTAAAGCAAGAAACAAAGTGATTATCTTCTTTTTAATTCATACATATGGTTTTCAATAGAACTAATCGTTAGGATTTAAATCTATGATCTCTTGATACAAGAGATCATTATCACTGAGTTACAAGCTTTTTGATAAAAAAACAAAATGACGATAGAGACTAATTTCAATGAGTTTGAGAGGGCCTCAAATTTCATGAATAATGGAATGTGTAGCTTTCAGCATTTGGGGAAGTTAATCATGTTAACTTGTCCCAGCTGGTTCAACAAGTAAACATGATTAAGCTTTCATGCTTAAATACGGCACACATACACAGCTCATTACAAAAAAAGATTAATCAATAATATATGCAATTAGGAGTACTTATTTTGTGGTAGGAAGGATTCTGGAGAATGTAAAAACATTGAAGATGCAATCATAATGCATATATAGCAGCAAGTGCTTTGAACATGGCCAACAAAAATAAAAATAGAAGATCAATTAAAAAACACATTATTTTCTTTGCTGGTACTTCTGTTAAATAAAAATTAAGATTCAAATGATTTTTTTTCTATCTTATCCAAGACTTTAAAATAGATTTTTATACAGAATTGAATAAAACTTATAACTGTGATATGGTAATAAGAGAGTGTATAAAAGACAACACCGGTTGTGGTTGATGTTGCTGTTAATTTTTTATCATATTTATTTTTAACCTAATCTTATTATTGTATTATCAAAAGATTGGTAGATACTGCTGATAAAAAAAAAAAAAATCATTTTTATCATTTTTTTATGGAAAACATGTCTTTCTGTGATGATTTTTTTAATTTCAATTAATTCATTCTTATCTTTTAGGTTATTGAGATATTCTATTAATTTCGAAGACAAAATTGAAATTTACATACTTTTTTGTAACTATTTCTAGCAAAAATTGAAAAAAAAAAAGGGAGGTGATAATGATCTCTTGTACCACTTGTCACTTTGTTTTTTTTATCAAAAAGCTTGTAACTCGAGTGATAATGATCTCTTGTACCAAGCAATAATGAATTTAAATCCTAACGGACTAATTCTATTAAAAACCATATGTGTGAGTTAAAAAGAAGATAATCACTTTGTTTCTTGCTTTAATTTGATGCAACACCAGGTTCAAGTTATGATTACTTTGCCACATCAAAAAGCCAATCTCACACTACAATATTCATCAATACTTGCTCACAATCCTATAAATAGCCTCTTCTAACATTCCTCAGAAAAACTATTCCCATATGGCTTCTTTTCTTGTTCACACTTTTCTTCTTCTGTTCACGCTCTTCTTGACAATTTTTTTTTGTCTCAATTGTCTAAAAATATTTAGAAATTCTCATTTAAAATTTCCATTAAAATTAAGCACTTGCTTAGGTGCCATTATGGCTACATCTACATAGGTTAAAAATAATATGACTCTCTTACTAACACATTATTTTCTTTGTTGGTACTTCTGTTAAATAAAAATTAAGATTCAAATGATTTTTTTTCCTATTTTATCCAAGACTTTAAAATAGATTTTTATACAGAATTGAATAAAACTTATAGACTGTGATATGGTAATAAGAGAGTGTATAAAAGACAACACCGGTTGTGGTTGATGTTGCTGTTAATTTTTTATCATATTTATTTTTAACCTAATCTTATTATTGTATTATCAAAAGATTGGTAGATAACTGTTGATGAAAAAAAAAAAATCATTTTTATCATTTTTTTATGGGAAAACATGTCTTTCTGTGATGATTTTTTTAATTTCAATTAATTCATTCTTAACTTTTAGGTTATTGAGATATTCTATTAATTTCGAAGACAAAATTGAAATTTACATACTTTTTTGTAACTACTTCTAGCAAAAACTGAAAAAAAAAGTAGAAAGTGAAACACATATTAAAGATATAGGATCTATTAAAACAAATTAAAAATTTTAAATGAAATTAAGAAACACTTAAACCTCAAGGAGAAAAATTAAAAGTTCAAAAATTACTTCTTTTTTTTTGTGCATTGCAATACAAATGTTTACAAAAATTATAAAAGTAGTTGGAGCTTATTAGAAATCATCAATGAAAATATTAATTTAATATTACCAACTTCACATGTCATGTTATTGAAAACTTTTATGTCCATCTAAAAAAATATAATAATAGCAAAGAGCTGCTATCATGAATTTAAATAGTTGGGCTTCCATAAAAAAAAAAATGTAATTATTGCATGCACGTGTTTAGATGAAAATTTTGTACAAACAATTTGTTTGTATAGCATTACTCGTCAAAATAATATTTTATTCAGACATATATTAATTGGATAGTTTTGTTCATAAAGACTACCAACATTTAATCTTTTCAAGAGCAAAATCTATTGTTGATGAAAAACATTGATATGCTTGCATGTTAAAAAATAAAATTGGATAAAAAAATAAATGTGATATGCGTACATACATACATATATATGCATATACATATATATATATATATATATAAAGTCAAAAACGAATGCCGTAGACTATTTATTTCTCACCTCCCTCATCTTTTCTATGATATTACATCTGATGTTGTTCAATTAATTTGCTATTGTTACTATAATATAGAGTTTTATTATTATTATTATTATTATTGATTATTATTATTTGTCCTTGTATCGTTTTGGTGGGTTTATCAAACCAAAATGGAGTTTTTTTTTCCTGCCAAGGTTCTAGTTATTTGAAGTCTAGAGTCTAAACAAATTTGGCCGGAAAAAAATAATAATGAAGGTGGTTTTTATTTTATTTTTTTCAAGGACATGCAATAGAGTTCTTCGGTGGTTGATGGAAAAGAATATATGGTACTAGTCGTTCCTTTATCTCTTAGTATAATTTTTTTTGGTTTTGAAAAATCATTATTTCTCAAATTTTTGCCACGGGTTTCTATTTTTTTTTTAATTTTTTTTTTGTAACAAAATATCTCGTGTATGTTTTTAGGATTTAAATCCTTTTCTCAATGTTGACGTAATTTGGATTAATTTGGATGTGAGATGCAGAAGCTTTTTTTTTTTTTTAAATTACCAATGAAAAACTATTTTTGAAAGAAAAAAGTTCAATATATATATATAAGTAACATGTCTTTTATTTTCTTTATAAATATTGATTGAATATTTTTACGAGATTTGATATAAAAAAAAAAAACAAAATCTTGGTTTATTGAGCTTGAAGCATTTAAAAAAAATAAGTAACTAAGGTTGCTGCAGGAAGGAAGCGTGAGTGAGTGAGGCGAGCAAGCAATAATCCACAAGGTGACACGTGCAAGCCGTGAGAAACACAGTTGCATTCTCACGCCAAGATTCGCGGAGAGGTTCCTTGTTGATTCTAGTAGCAGTGCATGGCTCAGAAATTGCCAACTCAGCATTCCTCCAAATTTCTCCCTCCTCAGAATTTTCAAAATAATCCATTTAAGTACTTAAAATATCCCCTAAAAAACGCGGATCATTCTTCCCAGCAGCAGCAGCCGCGATATTTCCTTGGAAGACACACAGTGAAGAATAGCTCTCCAATGGCTCAGTTAATATCTCCTGTCTGCACAGATGCACTTAAGATTAAAACCCCATCTAACTTTTTCAATATTTCTTCAAGAGGAAGAACCGCCATTAGTTATAACAGTAATCCCTGCAGTGTATTGAACTTGAAGAGAAGAGATTTTGGCAGAGTCAGGGTTGCAACCGATGGTCCAGCTTCCACAGATGCTCTTGCGGATGATTACTATGCAGTCTTGGGTCTGGTACGTACCTACCTACCTTTTTATACTACTTTTCATTTCCCTTCCTGTTTGTTAAATAAATACAACAATCACAAATTTTAAATTCTTAATTAATATAATATAATTTATCTACCTTGTTGATATTAGTGAGATATTATGTTGGCATGCATGCAGCTTCCAGATGCGACCCCAGAGCAGATTAAGAAGGCGTATTATAGTTGCATGAAAGCATGTCATCCAGACTTGAGTGGTGATGATGCAGAGACCACAAATTTCTGCATGTTCATTAATGAGGTTTATGCGGTGGGTTGTTCATCCACTCTCAATTACTTGCACTTTGTGAAAGGTTTCGTCTTTTTTGCTGTGCAGCTTCTGCTTTTAATATTATTAATATAAATATAATATGAAGTGCTGCAGGTGCTTAGTGACCCATTGCAGCGCATGATCTATGATGAAATTCATGGCTTTGCATTGACGGCAATCAATCCTTTCTTTGATGATTCCAGCCCAAAGGATCATGCCTTTGTTGATGAGTTTAGCTGCATAGGTAATTATAATACATAGTTCCACTCTTTTCTTTTGTTGAAAAAAAAAAAAAAGGGATTAAATGTTAGTTTTTAGTGCCAATTACCTAATAATGAAATGAAATCGAGAGGCTCGAACACGAGACCTCTTGGGGGAGGAGGGCACCTGGGTACCAATTGTGCTACAAGCTCATTGGCCAAGTGAAATATTCTTGTGGAAGACAAAAATCTTGGATATTTCAAGACAGTTTATTAGGTTTCATTGGAAAGGAATTTCTATTACAGGGAACTAATTAGATCCTAATTAATTGTAATTTTTAAGGTTGGAATCGCTAACTATGCTATATTACCTGCAGGCTGCAGAAATTGTGCGAACGTGGCTCCTGATGTATTTGGAATTGAGGAAGACTTTGGAAGAGCCAGAGTATACAGCCAGTGCGGAAAGCCTCGATTAGTCCAGCAAGCAATTGACAGTTGGTAAATTTCCTGTATTTTTCTGCTCCTTCAATATTGCTATGACATGTTTAAAATGATAATTTTATTTGGTTAATTACTGCTTTTAGTTAATATGCTTAGGAGAACAGAGAACTACATGAAATGTCACGAACGAATTCTTTCAAATTTATCTGCATCCTAGTTCTTTTCTGACAGAATCCTATATCAACATCTAAGCACCCAGTGCTGTTAAGACGACTTGGGATAGTTAATCAACTTCTGTCGAAGGCTGTGAATTAGAGACAATTTGAGTGCCAGATGCTTTCACATTTTGCCCACCTCCTTCTTGTTGTATTTTAATCCTCGTATCTGTATGCCGAAAACAATATTCCCTACTGACTGAAATGGATATTAGGATTGCTCTATATCTATTATCTACTATGAACAAAAAAAAAAGAAAAAGGGGGTCGTTTGGAAGAAAGCCAAGGGTTCTACCATTGTACCAATCAATGGCCTCTTTAGCTTCAACCTTTCCTACGAAAACAGTTTTTAAGTTGTCTTGTTTACTAGAACAGGTTTTAGAATTTTGTAAAGGGTTTATGGAATGGCTAGTGACTGTAGCATATATTCCCGCTTGTAGAAATTGAGTGGTTGCTTGTTAGATAATTAAAATGCAATTTCATTTTTGTGTCAATCAGCCCAGTTGATTGCATCCATTGGACTTCTGCGGCACAGCTATCTTTGCTTGAAGATGAAATGCGCAGAGTAGAAAGAGTAAATGTAAGGCACGCAACCACTATATGGTTTCTCCTTTGTATTTTAGTTTACAATCTCTACCTTCTCAATCTGAGGTGAACATGTTGAATTGCTTAACTTGAAAGCAAGCACATTTGACTTAACGGCTAGAAAATTTCTTCAATTTGAATTCAAGAGGCCTGAAGATTACATGAAGACTGCATTATATATCCAGATCCCATGCAGCAATCACTTGAATGACCCCTAAATTGTTGAGGACAATATAATTTGAAAAAGAAGAGCCACTTATTATATTGAATGATATTCTACATTCTGATAGCAGCAAGAAGAATATGGTAAATTCTAGTTGCTGGGTTTAGCTTATATTATTACTATTTTTTATTTCCAAATACCTATTTGGAATATGAAAACTAAACTATGGTGATTGTGTAGATGAATGCTAAAATTGAATCCTCTCTACAGGAAAAAATAATGCACTTCTGACATTCAGACTAGGTTAATATATATTCTGTGAAAAACACAAAGCGGAGACTGCAGCAGCAACAGAACCCTTCTCCAGATCAAGTAATTTATGCAGAAAATCTGAAGCTGTGTTTTTTTTCTTTTATCAGAACACAATATGTTTGCAAATTAACTTTGACCTTCATGTTCAAGCCATGTCTAAGTTCTGTCCAAGATGTTCCATAAGTCGAGCTTTCAAACTTCTGAACTTCTCTGTTACAACCATAACTGCATGACCGACCGACTGTTGTGTGTGGTATTTTCACTTGGCCTATCATTTCAATACTGAAACTTGGAGTGGTTCGAATGATTATCAGGTTGCACTGATGCTTTCAGGAATGGGATCTGCAGCAGCGGATGTTTTCAGAATGGTAAGCGTGTTACTTCCCTTATGTTCACTGTGTTTTCAGTCTCCTAATTGGTTTGATTGCCACGTGCTTCTTTGAGAGTCTTCCAAGATAAATTTGCAGTGAGCTTAGATTACTATGTCATCACATACAGAGAGGAATAGTCTTGTCCTTTTTCTGTAAGACACAGAATGGTGTTTAAAATCATGTAGAGAAATTAACGTCAATACTGCACTTATGGGGATTGAAGTTGCTTTTCAACATTTCATTATCACCTGAATTGTCCATGTCTGTGTAAGGAAGCATCTAGAATTCTTGTAATTGTAGATATCATCATAGCATCACTCACTTCTTAGACACCTATGCTGTATTTCTAAAATGAATTATGATAATAGATGAAAGTAGTACTTAAGACACTCGTGCTGTATCTCTAAAACAAAACAATGACAATACTGCACTGCTGGGGATTGAAGTTCGCCTGCAGTGTGAGAACTCTGAATATTTGACCAATGGGCAAGGAAGAGGTAACATCTTCTGGTGCTAATTAAAAAAGTCATGTACTTAGATATGGTTCCACCGAAGTGGGGTCTTGAGTGGGAAAGCTTGGAGATGGTTCTACCCTACGGTGATTTTTGCATAAAATTGTTGTACTCAAGATTCAAACCTGCACTCCATATGGTTGCAAACCCAAGACTTTCACTATTGCTTATAACAACTGCCCCTGTAGCCATATTTACTTTACTATTTTCTTGTTATTTCGCTTGATCATTTTTGGTATTTACAACTTATCACAGAGGAAAGTAAGAGGTCGAATTTTGGAGTCAAGTGGAGCAGTTTTTTGAAAAATATTGGAAGTTCAAGAGGCAATTGCAAACTGATAAATTAAATTTATTTCCTTACAATTTTGTTTTCCTCTTTCTAAAAACTGATCTCTGAATTCTTGAGTTGCTTGCTTCAGAATGCCTCACTTATCATAATCAATTAATGACTAATATATTTCACTTTGTTATCACTGGTTGCTAAGTAGTAGTTATTAATTCACACATAATTATTTGGCAGGCAAGTTCTCGATGGGAAAAGAGGCAAGCAAAATTCTTGGTAGGAACTCTCATCTTTTCTCCTTTATCAACATTCATTTAAACTACTATGTTAATGGAGCCATATATATGTGAATACCAATGAAACATTGTCAAAGCCTAAATGGCTAAAGATATCATGTGTCAAGTAGGAAAAAGAAAGCCTTCTGAATCTGTGACTAGCTGTCACATGGTCAAGATACGTCTTTTAGATACCAAGTTGGAAGATGGCGTTCTGAATTGTCATTGCAATAAATCATCACTTGTGTTTGCACGGGTCATCTTCTACCTGCTCATCTTTCAGAATGGCAGAATTAGCACTTAAAAAACAGAATAGCTAATGTTTGGGCCGTACATGGAGATTTTGGGGGAGCTTTGCCTGGCACAATATGGGCAGGGGTGGCCTGCTTGTATCTAGGGCATTAGTTGGGCAAAATGGTCTAGATGCTCCCTTTTGTGAAAAATATACTTTGCCTTGAAATCAATAATTTTCCATCTAAGTCATGTATTCGTGAGTTTGAACTTTGCATTGGTTATTCCAGCACACATATTCTGGCTATTATTTTGGTTTTAGCTAAAACATTTCAAAAGATTGGGACAGCATTGTTAATTGCAATACTAGGTTTGCTGAACAAGGACTCCTAAATTGTTTGCAGCGGCAAGCTAAAATAAGGATGATGAAGCAAAAAGATTTTGATAAAAATGGATCATACTGGAGCAATCTCTGGGGCAAGCAAAAAGAAAACAAAGGTTCAGGTAAGCAGGATGTGGTTAAAGCAAGTCGATGACATGTGACTGATAGTAACCTATCTTTTACATTTTATTTTCCACACCCTTATCTTAGTGGTAGTATTTGACTATTAAATTGTATAAGCTAGGACTTCCCTGTAGCAATGCCTTCTGTTATCGCACGAGAGGAAATTTTGATACGAGTTGAAATAGAAAATACTCTTATAACGTCCTATGGTCCTACATCATCTCCACAAAATGCCAGTGTGCTCTGTGTTTTAGTGGTCGCAAGTTATATCTGAGATGTTTGTTCACTGAAATAAGAAAGCATGTGGTCAAATACTGAAACCGTAGAGGACTATATGACAATGGAGGGTTGGGATGCTTATTTGACACTATAGTGGTTGTAGAAGAGTTTGCAATTTTAGGTTTTTGGTATGACACAATGAATTTGATTATACACATGCATTTACATCACCGAGTATGAAATATCTGTCCAAATCTAAGTTTTCTACCAGCTTTTCTTCAACTTCAAGTAAACTTGAAGTTGTCATGGTGTTTGATGCAGAGGAGGAGACAAGAGAGAGAGCAAAAAGAGCCGCAGCTGCAGCTCGAAGATGGAGGGAGTACTCAAGGAGGGGTGTTGATCAGCCTCCCACTTTTAAACTTCCGGAGGCTATCTCGAATAACGAGAAATGATCAGTATCAGTATATCTATATATATCTTATTTTTCCATTCCAATGTAAGTATTATTGAAGAATCACGATTCTCTTCCTCATGTAACTATGATTGATACCGTGACTCGGTCCACCATGATTATTGAATCGGAAGTTGATATATAAATAAAATGGGAAAACGATATTTATAGAATAATTGTTCTGGATAATGGTTTATTCTGTTGCTCCAAAATGCAGAGACATAAGCAGTTGTGTTTTTGGAAAGATAATTTAGAGGAAAGCACCGCATCAAAATGCAATGAAATCCATGGTTGTGCTTTCTTCAGAAGCAGTGATTTTACTACTGTTAAGCTCTATTCATGCATTTGCAACAAAGGCTTTTTTTACAGTGCCTTCTTTTCGTTGCTTGATTACAAGTTATTGGTCGATTTTGATGGAATGTTGGCCATTTGATTAATAATCAAATTCATCATCTTTTGTGAGACTAAATTTCCAGAAACTAAGTTTATTTTCATGTTCGCAAATAATATATCTAAAAAAAAGTACTTGCAAAGTTCAGATAACAAGAAAGAGAGTCTGGGACCTCCGGGAAGGGGCACAGCGACAACTTTCAGGAAACATAGATTCTTATGATGAGAAATTACGACAAACAAAGAAGAAAAAATATATCTTTTAAAGCAAATCATGCAACGCAACACTAAGATCACTTCCATTTCTATTTCCATGCTGGGTTTCAAATGCAACTAATTTTACACAAGAAGCCATAAAAGACAGAAAATGACAACAAAAATTTTGTTCCAAAAAAATTAGCCTGCACTACCACAGTACCTTGTACGTATCCAGCAAACATGCTCAACCAAAATATGGCCTTGCAACTGTACAATTTCACTCTTCTGGACATTACAAGTCATCTTTTGTAGGCCTCCTTGCGAGATTCTTTCATGAAGAAATTCCATCCTAACAATGCTGCGCCTACTGCAGGCTCCACCTGATCATTGAAAAAGAAAATTACCAAAATGGAATCTGTAGTACTCTCAATAAATAACAATACTAGTCGAGTAAGATTAAGATATACAGTCAAAAGTTTAACAAGGCTTCCCTAATTACTATGTGTGATTTATTGGAAATTTATTGTCTAGGAAAATGATCCTATGTTCCATTTACCAGTTAAATAAGTTTTAGTGACATGATTATTATGTTGTTGGCATGCATTAAGCCAGGATCCAGCTTCCTATGCGTGTTGGTTACATGGCTCCAAACAGGTGCAGCTTCATGGTCTGCATTTTGCTTCACTTATTCAGTACACAATATCAAAGGTGACAATTACTTGTGAAATAGGATCATGCTACAGCAGTACAGCCTTTTCTTCTCGGACTGTTGTTCCACTCTCTATACCCTTTCATCAATCTTAAAAACTCAGATATTTTGTGTATTTCCAATTCATTATTACATCTACCATTGCACACTCAATCTCGATAAATAAATTGCAGCAGTAGGACGTATGTGGAAAACATGATTGGTTGGTTAATCATAAAACTGCTTGTTGGAACAAAGTGAAATATAGTTACCTTTGGGCGAATTGGAAGAACCCCAGGATAGCTTTTAGAAATGTGGTTTACAACTTCTTTTCCTATATCCCACCTCTCATTTGCTTCGAGAACACCGCCAACCATGACAAGGGGAAAAAAGCTTTTCCATCTGCAATGATATTTATGCAAGGATCAAATTGAGTCCAAGACAAACAAAGAAAATATGTTAGAACCATCCCGAGAGAAGCAAACTAACCCAATATTTCTTTGTAGCAGATAATAGTTTTTTATTTTAAATAGGATACATCACACTTGGTGAGCAAAATTTCGAAACACCTGAAGGCAATATACATGGTCCATGTAAGGATAAACAAAGCAGGCACTATGGGAGAATCAAACGTTATATTGCCACTGCAAAATTTGCAATCTAAACTAAACTTAATTTTCCTAGAAGAGAGTTTCTGCAATATCTAAACTTTATGACAAAAATCATTGATTTATTAACTAGCTTGAGCTAGATAGTATCTTCACAAGCCCTCCAGCCCTACAATAAAACTGGAGGCTGGGTATAAATCTATTAAGCCTGAACAAGTCATTCTTTCCACTCCTTGTGAGCACCAACATTTCACCACTGCATTGTTATAGTTCTAATGATATGTTACTTTAATAACCACAAACCACTTAATACTTGGATACTTTATGTGGTTCATTGACAACCTTATAATCATATTTCAAACAACAAGAAAGAATTTATTTCTGGATTAGTTTTAGTTGACAATGTCACACCTTCACCACACAAGCCAAGTCTTTGAACAACAGCTTTTACGCTCAAAGCCAACTCCTCAACTGAATCTTGCAAAATCTCACAAGCAACTTGGTCTCCTGCCTCTGCACAAGACACAACGACTGGAACAAGAGCTGCAATGCGAGCCCAAGATGGATCTGCATAAGTCCACCTAAACTCCAAGAGAAATCCAGTTTCTCATTCAGTAACATATCTGATTGTGTCAATTTATCATATGAACAACATTTCAGAAGTCTGCCAACCAAGACATCAGTTGATTTTCCTCCAAAAAGATTTCCAAAAAAAAAAAAAAACAGGAACCAACTTTGTATTAGCAAACTATAATTCCATAAACACATTACACTCTAGATAACACTATAGATAGCAAAGCAAACCAAGTGATGCTCGAACAGAAATGATAATATAAAATTTTGACCAAGTGCAAATTGTTGAAACCACAAGATACTTTTATACAATTTGTGAAAATAAATTTCCTAATATAAAATTGCACTTCTCAGAAGCAGCAGTCAAATTAATTCCCAGAATGGTCAGATTAATGGAATAGACCTTCAGTTTTTTACTTCAAAGACATTGAAGATAATTAGAAGAGCTTTAAGCTCTGAAAACAGTAACTACAGGTAATAAGAGTTAAGAAGACAATGATGTTTTGTTGGAATATATACCCAATAAGTTCATCAGGGGAAGAAAGATCAAGTGTCTGCAAAATATTAGATGAAAGAATTGTTACAGGACCACGACCATCATAAGCCCTAATTATTGCTGTTAATGCCTGGGCAGCTATTCCATATCCACTGCAGGAGAATAAAACAATCTGATGTTAAATTTCCTCAAGAACAATAATTATATCTGTGAAGAAACAAAAAAGCTTATGAATCCTAATGTGGCTATCATGAAAAAACTTTAAATGGCCTTCTATCTAACTATTACAAATAATTTGAATCCTGACTTTGGGAAAGAATAGGAAATGCAGGGGTGGGGGTTGGGGAAGAAGCTATTCCCGCATGTTATACTATGAAATCATCCAGTAATGACTAAAAGTAGCAGAAATTAATCTAGCATTGGATGACCAGAGTGATTAGAAACACAGTTGATTTTATGCACCAAGCTCTTGTCAAATGCAGCTTATGTTTTAACCACCAAGTTCTTAAATATAAATTTCAGCCTCCTAATTGTACTAGCTAAACCTGTTTGGTTTGTTGACAGGTGCCATCTCTATTTTAGGTAACAGTTTTTGGATAAGAAAATTAAATTGTATCAGAAAGAAAGAGTACGTAAATGGAAGGAGGATATGTCATTCTCAGGAATAAGAAAATAGAAATTATATTAGAAGGAAAAGGAGTAATTTCATGGAAGTAGGATAAGATATCCTCTTATAAGGAAAATATAAGACAACCTTGTCCAGTTAGTAAAACAAATTCAAGAGAGAAAATTAAATTAATTATAATTTTATCAACAACAAATTTTTTTTTCTGGTCTGGGATCAGGAAATTCATGCTGCCTAAAATATGATAAACTTTCATGCTTCTAGGCACTATGTAGCACTAATTAATAAATAACATTTTTCATTGCTATAACGTTTGCGATCTTCCTGCTCTTATTTTTACTTCCCTTTCTTTTAGTTATAATACCCTCGGGTTACTATTGACACAAGAGAGGGGAAAGAGAGGGGAGAGATAGGTACACATTCTAGCTTATATACCTCCCCCAATCACCAAGGACAGGTCCAGCACCAGCAGCTCGAGCCTGTCTACCATCTTCCATGAATCCATAAGCAATAGTTCCTGTCCCAGCAATTAAAACACATCCATGGAGCTTCCCCATTGTGCCACTTGCCAAAGCGGCAACAGCATCATTTTGAACATACAGCTTCACATGAGTAGGGAATATTTCCCTGCATAAATCAAAGAAATGGCAGATTTGACCAACGAGTATCAGAATAGATACTAAAGTCAATGGACAATCAATCATAGGGGACAACCTGAAAAGATTCAGAGCAATACTGTGATTGTACAGACAAGAACTAACAAAATATCTGAAGCTGCCAGATGCAAAACAGGCAAGCTCCTTATAATGTAACAAATTTTAATTTGTGGACTTTGTGGATTCCACTGACAAAATTCATTACCAAAAACTCCATCAAGAATCCAGTAAACAATACTCCTTCCATCCCACAAAAGAATCCTTCTTTCTATTCCAAATTGACCAAAATTACGAGTCCCAAGAAAAAAACTTAATTGTTTTCCTCTCATGCCAAAAATTAAGTTGTTACACATAATTACTTGTGATTCAAAGATTCAAGGAATAAAGGCGCAATTTTGGAAAAAGTGCACAAAATATGCAAGGAGGCAATATGTTTATCAGGTATACTTAAATTGTGTGTAAAGTAAAACAAGGCACTCTTTGTGGGAATTAAAGAGAGTACGTCATGGGGATGTATATGCAATTGGAACACAAAAGTAGCACAGGGCAAACGACAATTTTGGTGAAATGAGACATGTCTAGCAAATTTTAATTCCTTGGTTTCACTAACCTTTGCTAGATATCATTTTTCCTATATAAAAGAAAACAAAAACAAACTCCTAGCACACGTCTTCAAAGGCAATTTAGAATTGCGTGTCCCTAACATCCCAGAAATCATGTGTGTATATATATGCTCTCTTACTTTCTTTCTTCTTTTTTTTTCCCCAGAAAATGCATGTACAGATAGGCCGACCACTCAAAGCATTAAACATTGCGCCTTTCACACACATATCTAGTGATCTAGACTCTAGAGGAACTGAAGGGTAAGTTAACTTGCAAAAAACTAGAGAGCAAATTACCTAAGCCAATTCATAATTCTTAGCTCATCAGTTGAATGATTAACGCCAGAAACAGCTAGACAAACAGCTCTAACCGCAGAGCGATTGGAGCCCGACTTTAAAAGAGCATCTGCCATAACTTGCTCCAGCGTCTCTCTAGCAGCAGTTTCTGATCACAAAAAGCCAAATATTTCAATGCCCATAAATAAAAGGCTAGAAAATGCACCACCACATATTACATATACATATAATAATATAAAAACTGACCGCCAACGCTATTGTGGTTGGAACAACCGGCGACGGCGCGAGCAAGGACGGGAAGAGGGTCAGGAAAAGGATCAGAAAAGGGTAAATTTGGCATGCAAATGCAGACAGTGGATGTAGTCCCGCCATCCAATCCTAAAATGACATCCCTGTTCCTCAACAACCCAATTTCATGTTCGAAATCCCATATTTCCCCATTTCTGTACCTCTTCTTCATCTCGTCACCAATTACCAAAACTTTGCCACTATTTCTTTTTTCTATTTGTAAAATCAAGAAAGAGATTTCTTTCTTCTTCTGACAAGAAATGAAACTGGCATTGAAGATATTTACTATTGCTGTAGAATATAGTGTGTGTGTGTGTAAATATATATATATATATACACGAGAGAACAAGCACTAACGCCAGCCTACCACTGCTATCTCTGTTTTTGTTTGAATTTTCCATGAAGGTAGTAGTTGCATTGCGCTACATACATGTTTGTTTTGTTGGGTAAATTATAGTTTTAGTCCCTACGTTTGTTTTTGTTTTTAAATTAGTTCTTTTCTTTTTAAAATTGTTTATTAGTCTTTTGATCAGAATTGATTGTTTCTAAATGTTCAATTTGTAATTTTAAAATGCACGTTTGATTTGTTATAATAGATGAGAGCTTAAAGATAAAATTTACTAAGAACTAAGTTACAAACAAACAAAAATAGACTATTATTTATTCTTGTGTTTTTTAAATAAATAAACTATGTTGATTCATTTAGTTTTAAAAATCAACTTTTGAATTTATGTTTTCTTATTTATTTGTAGTCGAGTCTTTTTGTTAGTTTTTCATAATAATATAATAGTTTTGTTTTTACAAATTTTCTTCATTTTTTACTCAAAAATATTTTTTAGTCTCACTTGTTTAAAATAAAACCAAAAATGCATTAAAAAAAGTAATTTAAACATGTAAAAGGAATAATTGGTCAAGGATAAAAGACTAATTTATGATTTTTGAAAGTGAAAGGGCTAGAATACAAAATTGTAAAACATATAGGGACTAAAACATAAAATACTAAAATAAAATAACACCACCACGTTTTTATAAAATGGGATTCGGACGGCCAAAAGAGCCAAACGCTACTTGCTGAATTCCAAATGAGGTGGATTTGAATTTTCTGTTTTGTGGACTTGTGGTACTGCTTGTCTTTTCTATTCTTCAAAGAAAAAAAGAAAAGTAAAGAGAAGGCCGGATTCTATGGTACAGAATTAAAATTAATTAACAAGTTTGAATGCTATTGGTGTTTTATGCATGGATTATCCAATACCATGACGTCGTCCAGAGCTAGCTTCAGTGGCATGACGGATGGTCACTAGACCTTCAAAACAGGAAGAGGTCCTTTTCTTCTTGATTGAATTAGATCTTTGGAAAAATAATGGTCTAAGGATAGCTCCTGAATGTTATACGAGGAATCTATTTCCTTTCCTTCATGTAGGATATTTCCTTTTGATTCTCTAAGTTCGAACTGATACTAAGACGAATTTATTTCTTGAAAACACTAGATTTATACTGAAGTTTCTTTTATATGGAAATTTAATTTCAATTAACACACAAACTAATCCGAAATCATCCAAGTGAAAACTAAAAATCCTGTATTCGATGAAAACAAATTCATTAAATTGGTTGGAAAGATTCATTTGGTATTGATGCCGCTTTTGTTTTCTCTTTTTATTTTCTATTTTTTTTAGAAGTTGTTTTCTAAATTTTGAAGGAAAAAAACGACAGAAAAATAATACCAAATGGGTTAATAATTTAATTTCTTGGTAGTGAACAGGGAAGAAACAACATTATTTCCGATAACTCCATTTCTCGTACAGCATCATTTCATGATTCCATGTTAAGAAGCAAAGAGTGACCTAAACTACCATGCCGAGTACATACTAGGGAAAGTAAGAGCACCAATCTCAGACCTCGAAAATGTTCACAAAACCAGCTCGAATTAGCTAGGAGGATTTCTTATATGTGCGACATTTATGAAGCAAAAACATGGTGGGATTTGTGATCGAAGTCAATGACAAAGGTGCGGATTTCCATTGGAGCAAGTTCAACCACCAGTTTTGCGGGGTCAACAGGTCCACCCCTCAGCACTGCTTGTGTTCTTGATGAGCCTTCTGCTTTCCACACTAGTCTCTTTTTCTCCATTTCGGTCCTTTCTTGATTGGCAGATAAGCTCATTTCTGCAGCTTTGCCAATCTGAAGAAAACACAGGGTTACAAAATTAATTGAGATGATAGTAGGACATAATATGTTCTAAACAATTGATGCCTGGTAGTAGTTAGGGCCAGGAGACCATTTCTTCTACCTTCTTTCCAGGGAACAGCTTCTTAAGTTCTACAGTCGTCATCACCGAAAGATCCTTATCCTCTCCAATCTTCAAATATTTTGGGAAGCCAATAAATTAGGTTAAAATTTGAATAACAAACGTAGAGGATGATAAATTCAAATCTATGGACAAAGAAATGCAATCAATTCTCTTAAATGTCAAATTTTATGGACAAAGAAATGTAATCAATTCTCTTAAATGTTGTTGCTATTTCATAGATTGATTGATAGCTGCTATTTAATTTATAGATAGGTAAATGGAGGTTTAATAGCAAATTTTACTCTCATTCTATTGCAATTTGACAAGTTCGGACTCATAGTATCAAACTACGTAATTTAAACTCTAAAGTATTAGAAATTGAACAAATAAGATCCAGATTATCCAATCTTCATTATGTGTAACGGTCAACTCAGTTGACCATTACTTGCAATTTCAAAACAACTTCGTTTTGACATTCCGTCGTTAATTATGTTTTTTTATGTATATTTTTTTAAAAAAATTAACCACCCTAATCTTGAACTTTTGTTAAAAACTTTTTTTTTCTTAAAAAATATTATAATATATATAAAAAAACATTTTATAAATATTTTTAACTCTCTAATTTTGAACTTTTTTAAAAAAACTTTTTTCATAAAATATTATTGTAAAAAAATATAATTAATAATTAACAAAACACAATTTCATACATTAAAAAAATATTTTATAAATTAAAATGAGCATAATTAAGGATTGACCCCTCCCCCCAAATTTTATAAATTATAAGAAAAGTTATAAGAAATTCAAAATTAAGAGTTAAAAATATTTATAAAATGTTTCCAATATAATTTATAAAATGTTTATAATTTTTTAAGAAAAAAGTTTGAAAAAATTCAAGTTAAAGGGTTAAAAGTATTTTTAAATTTTTTTTTAAAAAAATATAATTAACGACGGAATGTCAAAACGAAGTAGTTTTAGCATTCCAATTAATGGTCAACTAGGTTGACCGTTACACATAATGGAGATTAGGCAATTTAGATCAGACCTGCCCAATCTCCAAAACTTAAAGGTTCAAATTATGCAATTTAGTACTATCGATCCAAAACTATCAAATCACAATAGAATGGAAGCAAAATTTACCATTAAACCGGTAGATAGATAGATAGATAGATTCTCTCAAACATAGCTGCTATATGGCCTGAGACCACCGTGAAAATTTGGGAATCTTCTTCCGAAGAAAAAAAAGAAACCTAGTGAATGTTAAGATCATGCTAGAGGAAATTTAAATCAAGAAGTTCCTGTGAACTCCTTGTCTAAAGAAGAAATTCATAATATGAACTGGTTAAAACTTGTTGATAGGATATCCGTCAGATGGTATACTAAAGTTAATTTTATTATTAATAAGGAATTCAATTTAATGATCGAAGATTTCCAAATGCCTGGTGCCCAGAGCAATGGATGGGCTATGGCAGGAATCCCTCTTGTGTTGAAGTCTGTCTCACAAGGCAGAAAAAAATATGCTATTTTCCTATTTTCTATCCCAGAAAGCATCTCTGATTTCAGCACAAATTTCGGGTAATGGTTGCAAGTTTGCAACACCAGGGTTGGGAAAATTGTTAGCCTAGATGAAATTGAAATGTTAAGAGCATGACCATCTACCTAGATTCTATTATACACTCTACGGAGTTTTTGTTGGTGAAGAGGTAACATATTTATGTAAAATAAGCATTGAGATGAGGATGCTAAGATATGGAACGACAAAAAGAAAAAGAAGAAGAAGAAGATGATGATGATGAGAACGAGTACAATACATAACATGGGAAGGTCAAGATGACACCTATTGGGAATAAGCTACAGGAGGGCCTTTAAGATGATAAACATCCAGGATTGACCTGTGGATAAACTACTTCGATAAGGTGAAGAATTGAAGCATTGCAAGAGGACAAGAAAGGAAAAATCTTTACAGACCGAAAAGACAGGGACTGAAGAGTAAGAGAGTAATTTAGCATCAGAATAGCTAAAGAAGGTTTAGTCCATAATAGCACTAAACAGAGGCGAATATATGTAGCCAAACTCAAACAGTTAGGATCGATGCCTAGCTGAGTTGAGTAGTCTTCCCAATGCTTAGATGAAAAGCTGGAAAACAGAAAGCCTCAAAGAACATGATAATGCTGAAACCTTATTCCTGATAAAATAAATGAGGTGCTAAAAGCACATGCAAGACTGGAATGGAAGAGAAATTAAAACCTCGTATAAATGAGCTAAACGGAGGAGAATTTTTCCATCATCAATCTCCTGCATAATTCAGTGAAAGAGAGTGTGTTAGAAAAGAAAAAAGGAATATTAAGTTAGAAAGGAAAGGTTAACATAAGGAATCCTGCAAGTCATTCTTTTAATGTCTCTTTGTTGAAGAAAAAAATTATGGTCTTAAACTCTAGAAGATTGTTTGTCATTCCTTATATGTATCTTATGAGACCTAAGATGTTATAGAAACAATAATAGTAGTCTCTTCACCATAAATGAAGCTCCAATACCTGTAGAGTTATAACTGCAACATTATCAGGTAAAGAGTAGGAAGAATCAATGCCAGAAAAAGTGGTCACATGAGAATTCATCCACTTATCTCCATCCTGCCAGAAAAAATTTACGTTTTAAGAAACCAAATCACAAATCTTTCGCAGGAGGTTTGAATCCATCTAATGCTTTTTTGTTTTGATTATAATTTCACCTCTTCAGCAAAAGCCAGTAGGAGAGGTGAATATATCTCCTGGCCGAATGAGCGACGCCACTTAGCACCTTCTCCAATAGGGTCAATTCTGAAATAGTATTTTCCTTGGATCTGCAACTCAAAGAGTAAGTTAGAGCTAGATACTAATTTCAGTAAATTTTCATCATATTGGACATGTTAAGGAGGGGTTTTGTGCAAAGGTCAATGGCAATTGTCAATTTAACCCTCCTTAAAAGATGGCCACAAAAATCTCTTACAGGAACTTGAGGTTGCTATTTGGACCATAATCACATGGCTGAGACATGATAACAGAATTCCGAGAGGTTTTTTAAGAAAAAGTCAACAATAATATCACATCAAAGGAGGTCCTCAAGCAAAAGGAAAAAAAAATCCAGTCAAAGAATAAGGCTTATTGCCAGATTGGGTACCCAAGTTGTCAAATTTGCTTACCGTCAATCCCTTACATTGATCATGGACACAAACTGTTTCGTTAAGAATCTCTGCAACACCCTTGGAATCGTCTAGTAGCAGTCTCCTACATGGCAAGGGGAGTGTCTCCAATGAAATACATCCAAGGAATGATATGGTCAAGAATTATACTTTTATTCATGTAATAGAAACACAACTCCTAGACAGTGTATTAAGCTGCAGATTTCACTCCATTCCATTAAATAGTGGCCTCGAAAAGAATTCAAATCCAGTCCTATCAAGCACAAGCTCGTATAAACTGTTTTTTCCTTTTAACCACAATTGGCAACTTTTCAAGACAGATCAAGAGAACTGCTCATGAACCAAGACATAATGAGCATTGGAAAGGTGATAACATACCTGTGGAGCATCAGCTCAATTTGTCCATCCACCAGACTAGATCCTCCAAGTGCTCGATCCAACAGAACTGAAAATTCCTTCTTGTCATCTTGGATATAAATTCCAAGGTTAATCTGAAGGGACAGTGTGAAACAAAGGGTAAGTTGAAGGAGGGAATATTACTCCCTGATAAGTAGATGACTTTCCAACGACATGGACACAGCAGATATAAATTCTAATAAAAGCATATGGATACTGTCAAAAAGTACATGGTCGGAATCATCAGCTAAAAATAGATCATACACAGGACCACCAAAATCCTTCCTTGGCATTCAAATGCCTCTCTCCAAATTAGTCCTCTCAAGTTAGCTGGAACAGAAGTTCAAAAAAAAAAGGAACCAATTATCTAGCTTGGTCCTTTGCTTGTATACATGGATTGTATAGGTATATCACTGGCCGGAACAACCAATGACCAGTTATGTAGTCAATGGGAATCAGAGAACTCTCTTGTTATGCCTTGGCTTAAATCTCTTGCTCGTGGCTATTTACTACTTGAGTCTGCCTCAAAAATTTGGCGTGCTTCTACATTAACATATTCACAATTAGGTAATGATGCCAAAAAATTTTGAACTAACAAATGATGATTCTGTCTCTCTGTTTTATTATGATAAAGCTACTGTCAACACTGCTCATAATCAGTTCAACACGACAGAACAAAGCATATTGAGATTAATAGGCACCCTATCAAGGAAAAAAGAGTAAGGGAACAATTTCTATACTTTTGTAAAGTCTAAAAAATATTAGCTAATATCTTTCGTAAAGGCCTTACTAATAGATTGTTTCATTCCATTGCTTGCAAGATAAGCATGAGAGATCTCTACGCACCACATTGAGGGGGAGTTGTAAGGGTACTTAAGTAAATTGAACCTTATTGACTTAGTGTATGGGTGTATGTCTCTTTAGTACCTAACACACCACAACCTTTCATCCATCTCCTCTCCCACACCCACCACACACATGTCTAATAAAGAAAATTCAACTGATTAATAAGTCTCATTACTGCCAACTGTAAGCAAGACGTAATAGTTTCTGAAATAAAAGATGGATAATATTTAAGTAACATACTGGGTAATAGTTTCCAGCAGCTGGTTGATTCACTTCCAGGTCCCAGTCTGCTCTATAATCACGAATCTGCAGAATAGGTGAATTCTTTAGTTTATTTGGTGCTCACATCAATTAGATTTTTTAAAAAAAGAAAAAAAACCACAAGGAAGCAAGTATTCCCATAACAATCTAGCACAAGACAATGATTTTATTAATTAATCCTCCCATTCAGGAATGTTGACAGCTATTTTCAGTAAATGAGAGGTCAAGACATTGTTGAGAACCGATTAAAGTTTTAAGCCAACAACCATTCTGAGCGTGGAGATGGAAACCAGTGTACTAAGTAAACAGAATAGCATTTTACCCTTTTGATAAAATCACGTCCATTAGAATCTGTGTAGAATGTTTTATTGGTTTCCATGGTTGTTGTGATTTGAGTTGCAACTTCTTTTCCAACTCCATCTTCAATGGGTATTGGCCCAACCTGATATGGCAGATAGTGTCAGCGATACCTTGTGAAATGCCCAGCAAGAACCAGCAAAAACCAAAATCGCTAAATTATAATAATAGACAACAGTCTTTTACAAATAATTCCACTGTCAACTTTCAGAAAATGAAAATGAAAAAACTGTAGAGTCAAAATTAAGCATCCATCTACTTCACTTACGATAAACTCAACTTCAACATGCTCTCTCCCCTTGTATAATCTGGTGATCTGCATGTGTGTAAAGCATGTAAATTAAGGGTAAAAGTGATCTGCATAAATGTTATAAGCATCATTCATTAAGGGAAGAGCAATTTATCACATGATTGCCTCAATCTCTTCTGCTAAACAAAAATATTTTTCCCAAAAATTACGTCACGAAAGATGCTCAGCACATGAAGAAAAAAAAGTGACTGGAATTGGAAACTATGTTTTCTTATATTATGTGGTGCCAAGCATCATTGCATGAATTCAAGAAAATGTCCAAAATTACAGAAGGTTACAATAGCATTCAAACCTTCTGAGGAATAATAATGACAAGGGTTTTTGACATTTTCTTGTCACAATCACATCTCTCCAATACATTCCAAGAAAATGTAAAATTTCCTCCAACCATAGACCTAATCCAAGAAGGAGAAAAGAGCAGAACCGCCAAAACTTCTAAAATAAACAAAAAATCTGCAGATTCAAATTCTACAAGCAGACAGAGCTAGTTTCAAAGATTGACCGCTTCTTTCCAGTCATGGAATTTTACAGGCTTATTCTATTCAGAAGTGGCTTCATTGATTTTGAAAATGATGTCATTCTTAATTCATGTTCAATATATTTTTATCATTCAAAATTGTGGTGAATACCTTTTTAGTGAAACAAAAGAAAAAGGGTCCAGTGAAATAAAGAAATTAAACATGGATAAGCAACCATGTGTCTGAAAACGCACCTGATATATCCATTGATTGAACTGTTGATGTACTTCATCTAAAATAGGTCCACGCATGATAGTCAAAGGAACCTGAAACTATTTATACAGTTTAGAGCACCACAATTATTTGTTCCTGTGGGTGAAGCATACCAGAAAGAACACAAACCTGGGCTTCAGGCTTTATAGGAAATGTCCCATTCGGACGGAAGACATATGCCCCATCATTCTTGAAAATACAACAAAAAGAATGAGATATCGACTTGGAAATGGGTAATCTAGTAATTAGACTAAATTGAGGTCATGAAATTTCAGAATGAGAAGACAGAAGTTGCAAGATGAACTTCGGCTACGCATGTTTACCTGTGGATCTTTATCATTTCCAGTTCCATTGTATCCAGCATAAAAACTGAATGACTGTTCAACTGATTCCTTAACCTTCAAAGTTGGAACATGTGCATTAGCAACATATATTTTAGATAATAATAAGATGTATGAAAAGAAAGCTTCTTAAAACAGTGGTAACAAGAATTCCAGAACATCCTAACTGTCACAAATTGTTCAGGAAAACACAGAATAGAGAAAGTAGACAACTAGTTTGTTCATCACATACTAAGCTTCTGCTGTTAACATAATCAGGATGCTTGACTTGATCTGCAGAAAATACAAGCTTCAAATTTCCTTGGCCAACTTCAACGGTAGATTTCTCATTTCTGAATGTGTATACAGATGATTTAGTAGAATGAGCACCTACAAATACAAGTGAAACATTTGGCATGGCTATTAATATCAATAAACTTTATGACATGGACTTCAAGTTTGTGCTATTTTGCAAAACTTAGTGGAAGCTATGGTAACTAACCTGCCCTTTTGACACTTGAGATGGAATAGGTGCTGAAACCAAAAGGTGGAACAGAAACTGTAAACGCAAGCCAATACTTAGGCGTCACTGCTGGGGTTCTACCCAAGTATGCATTAACATACGAGTTCCTCAAGCCCACAAAGGCATCTGCTATTGGAATAATTTGTGACACAATTTCTCTTTTCTCAGAATCATGCACAATAACATTTTCATCGAGGACCTACAGCAGATTAGATCCTGTAAGTAATACAAGAAACACAGCCCACTCTACTTATATTAGCCAAAGTTTGGCATATTAATTATGAAGGTGTTATTTAAAAAAAATATGATATCTGCCAAAAGCATTAATGCATACTTGTCCAAAAATAACAAACCCTTCTCCAAATACAAATAACACAAAAGACCAAATGCACAAAATCCATTTGTGGTATGCATGATTCTTGCATAGCAGGTGTGTGTGAATACACACACGCATATATACATCCCATAAAGAATGACTTCCTCTAATATTTCCAAAGTTAAAAGTGTCAAGAAACAGATACTGTCGAGAAAATTCAGTACACAAAACATTCAGCGTTTTAGTTATTCTAACACATATTGCATGGATCCCCAGTTCTGATCATGTTAAACCGCACTGATAAGATTACCTTTGCCCACAATTTGAAAAATTAAACTTTTGGGGCAGATAATTAGTTGTTTAACATGGAACCATAGTAGGGACTCCTGTATTTTAATCATGCTAGACCTTGCAAAGTATTAGTTCTGCAGGTTGGGATTATAATTTGTGTAGTAAGGCCCATATGCAAGGAAACAGTTAAATCATAATGTTGGCTAACGTTTTCATAGGTTAAGTTTTTTTCGGTGGCTTTTTGCCCAAAATATTGTTAAAAGAAACAGAAACTGTAGACAATTAGCAAATCACCAACTTAAAGTTCAACTGAAAAGTGATATTAGAATAGAACTACTCACAGGAATTTTAATTGCATCATCTCTCGCCCACCCAAGTGAATTGTAGACAACAACAATCTACAGAAAAGAAGACATATAGATGATGTATTTCAACGTAAAATGTTTGTGCTTAATTACAATGTTGAAGAATGAGATATTGTCCTTACCAAGTTTCTCCCTTGAGATAGATCTACTTCTGATGCATGACAGTAACTTATATTCAGAAGTGGGCACTGGGAAGAAGATGGAAAAAGTAAATGCAAGGTCCGTTTTGGTTTGAATTTCAACTTCAAAGAAAGACTATTTTAATGTTCATTTTATGTCATCTTTTTTTTTCAACATTTTATATGCATTGCTAATTTCAACATTCAATTACCAAAATCTTTTTCCTTTTCCTCAGAAAAAAATAGCTAATATCACAGAAGCTACAGTAAATTGGAGTGTAAGCCATACATTTTTATTCAAAAGTTTCAAATCAGTAACTGTTTAACCCATTGGTCATAGGCTCATTGCAGTGACTGTGTAAAGATGCAGTACATGATAGATACCAATATCATTATCATATGAAACACAATTGTCCTATGAACTGCATGGAAACGTAAAAGAAGATGAAGAATGGAAAGGGGCACAAAATGATTCATTCATACTAGCAACAAGACATCAAATTTTAGGCTAATCAAGCTGAAGAGATTATGAGTTTTTGCCTGTTGAAATTTAGTAGTTGACCTCTGACATCCTGTATGCAATGCTGACTCCACCAAGCAACCGAGTGAAGATGCAACTAACTTTTCAGCCTGCAAAGATGTAATGATCAACTAAATATTAAAAAAAAAAAAAGGTGAAGAAACATTGTTACCATGAAAATTGAGATGGTTAAATAAAATTTTCACCTCCGTGTAGCCAATCGACAGTCGTTTTGCATAATCATCAGCCACATGTTGCTTTTCTGTACCAGTAACAGCATCATGATGCTGAGCAATGGCAAGAGAATCTGCCAATGAGTCTGTGTTTGGTCCTGTATTGCTCCTCCCATTGTAAAACTCTAATTGTCTTGCAGCCTGAGAGAGATTAGATTCATTAGAAGTACAAGATTATAGCTTGAAAATTGTTGTTGGACCATGGCAGCATATATCTTTTAACAAATTAAAAGAGTCATGTTAATTGATACCAAGTAGTAGCCACTCATCATCCTGACATAGCGTTTCAAGGCAGGTCGACTTGAAAAGTATCCAGTCCAGTAAGCATTTGCATGATCTGCATAGCTGGAGAAGCACATGCTTCGAATTCTAAGAGTTGTTCAAAGCAAGGGAATAACTGGCAAATGGGTTATAAAAACAGTCAGGCATTGAACTTACGGGAAAAAATCCTCAGTCTTTACTGGCCAGTGCTCATTTGTAGCATGTTTTGCATCAGTGTAAATGGATGGTGTAGAATAGAGAGCATTAACACGTCCATCCTAGAAACATTCAAAGAAAACCATGCAGAAGTGACAAAATCAGAAAACAAGACAGAGTAGAAATGTGTACCCTTAAGGGATGTAAATATACATCCTTACTACCAGACCATTAAATTTTGGCCATGAAAAGCACAGTTGAAAAGTAATCCAATGCATCTAGCATGTCAACTGATCCAAGGCAGCATCTAGAATTATCCCTTGAGACGAATTCAGAATGACACAGATGATGTTTATATTCTTGGACTCCTCAACCCTAATTGGTTTGATGTGCGAATGTCAGCCTTAAGGTTCCACTGAAATGGTATTTGTACCTTTCGATGAGACAATTAAAGCTTCAATGAAGAGACAGGTACCTTTTTAGAAGATTGCCACACTAATTCCGCATATAAATGCCACCAGGCATTGTTTTGTTTAGTAATCACTAGTTTAACTGGCCTAATTTCATGGATGAACGATTTATCTAACTGAGTCATGGCATTCATTTGGCCAAGGCCACAGTTACCATTTTGTGGAAGTACTGTGGACATGAAAGGCATTGTGTGATGGTATGTTATAAAATCAGTGAAAACCTGCTAAGAACATATTATGGAAAACATACCATGTTGACATAATGAATCAGCTTGTCCATCTGTCGGAACCACGAATGCGCATACTGATACTTAAAATCTGTTCCCATGGTCCACATTATATGATTTGTTCGAGTTATATTAGCCTGTGAGTAGATTAAATTATGTTAGAATAACTAACAGAAGGCACTTGTGAAATGATATAAACTCTTCATCTCGAAAGAACTTTAAAACTGAATTTTTCTCCACAGCTAGCTAGTACTTTTAACATTTATTTTCAGTTTTGGGTGTAATAAACACAAATATGATAGGATAAAGTTCGATATTTGTTTTGTATCAACATAAATAATTATAGATTTTCACCGATCACCATTTACCTGTGATACTGCAGCAGTTACAAAGTCGTTGACTCGTTCTTGAACATTGTAATCAAACAAATTGATGTCATCCTTCAAAGGACGAGCAAACAAAATTAACACGACAGACTAGTGAATATTCAAGGGACTCAAAAACAAAGGATCAGCTTTTTCTTATGCTTTACTTGAACAACAGGAGAAGGGTCATTGACTTCAAAATAGAAACCACCCGGAGGAGGCTCATAGTTTTTTGGGAATGCACCAGCAAAAATCTACAACAATAGAGCAAGAAGATAAGAGTAAAAAGAAAGAATATTTCTCAGCAACAATGCATATGAAACAGAGAAAACAATAGATAAATCTCTATAGGCTATAACATAACCAAAACATTCAACTTAGCATGCAATATGCTCATCTAACTCAGACCACTATATGCTGATAAGCATAAACTTATCCATTTTGTTCACCTGTGCAGACGAACCAAAACTCTTGGAACCCTGCCAGACAACTTCAAGACTTTTCTCATTTTTACGCTTGGCCCGGTCTTGGTAATCTATCCGGCCAAAGAAAAGAGAGTCGAATCCAATCTACACCAAGATTCATTAAATCCTTACACTGTTATGAAGCTGGAAAAATAGAACCAAAACAGATACATGTGTACATTCACATATTCACACTCTTGTGGACACACACACAGAGTTTAGAGGTCTAAATGAAGTTAAGGATAAATAGGTTTACTTCAGCTCCCAACAAGTAAGCCTGCACTGCAGAATGACCAAAAGGATCAATTTGCCAACCAATTCTTGGAGTTACACCAAAATCCTTTTTGATAAACCGATGCCCAAGAGTTGTTTGGTCAATCATGTCAATATAATGTGTCACTGCTTCATCGTGCATGCACATACCCCCATTTCTGCAACACAGAAAGAGGCATCATCAAGAACCAACTTTTCATAATAACAGCTATAAGAATCCCAGACAGCAAGCAAACTCAAGGTATATGAAGAATAATCAGAAATCAACACTTGACTGAAACTTAAAAGTAAGCTGAAAGAATATTGTTGAGATCAGTGTTAATAAGTGTGTGCTTTACATGAATTCTAGTTGACCGGAGCTAACGAGTTCCTTGACTACATGCTGCATAGTCTCACTCTGATCTGCCCACCACCGTTGGAAAAAAGCCTACGTATGTGAGGAAGAAATATCAACAGTCAGATATTGCAACTATATATAGCACAAGGATCATCATTAAAATTTCCTGTGGAGGTAAGCAGAATCAAAGGTTTTACTTCACATTTCAATTTGAACTGCCTGTTGTCCTATTATATTCAAGCAGGTCCCGTTATTCTCTTGAAAAGCCACAATTGCTGGAGTCTACAAAAGCCTAATGCTCAATATGGTTGGCAGGAAATAGAGAAACATACTCCTAGTCATTCATTAACTTTTGAAAAACAGACAGTATAAACCAAAATTTCACGTTCTTAATTTTGGAAACTGTGGAAGATGATTCAATTCTTTGTTTCAACTCATCTTAAAGGTCTTTCTTTATGTCTTTGTAACTAACCACACCACATGTGCACCGAAATGGAAAACACGAGGGAAAGAATAATACTTGCCTGTTCAACATAAATGAATTTCCGATTCTTGTCAGCCAACAGCGCAGGAATAAGAGAATCTAATACATTTTGTACACAAGCACCCTAGAAATTTTTTTTCAAAAAAAAAAAAACAAAGAAAGCAGCCATCAAAATATAAGCTTTGTTCAAGTGAGACATATCACAGATAGATAAAAAGAAACCAAAAGAAGGGGGTTTAAGATCTTAATTACCTGGATAGAATTGTTAGAACCAACATAGTACTGATCAATAGTCTTTAACCATCCAACGTCATCATGGGTGTGAGCAACCAAGTGAACATTGATCTTATCGCTCACTGTACCTTGTGAAGTGTTATAAACCATGTACTTTGATTCCACCACAAATAATGAAGCACCCAGCAACAACAACAAAACCACCATTAACACTTTCATTATCTCCATTTTCTTTTCTTTTGAGCATCCAGTGAAGTGAAGGGTGAAGAAACAGCAGCAATCTGTCTCTCTTTCTCTCTGGCTTGGTCGAAAAAAGTCGTTGGTTTCTTGGTTTATAACTTGTACTGACAGAGAGAAGAGGAATTCTAGTCAAGCAAGCATTATTTATTGTTTGGAATTTCTAGTACGTAGAGTAAAGGGAGGCTTTGTTGGATAAGGCGAAGACTTTTTACAGACCCTGTTTTGTCTCCCTCTACCAGAAAAGCTTTCTTTCTCCAGTCTTCACTGCAGCTACCATCGCTTAAAATAATAGTACTTCTTGAATAAAATGATACTCCAATAGTGCTGAGTTTTAATACTCCTACTCAGTCTCATTTTTGTCCTTGTGTTTTGGGTATTGGGAATACTTTAATTTGTTTTTATCCAATGAATAATTTATAATTAGGAAGGTTTTTACTCGATGGATAATTTATAGTGTAAATAGTTAAATTTATTCTGTATAATAGCTTGCTTGAGTATTTAATTTGTTTTTATGTTTTTAAATAATATTTAATCAGTTTTTTCTAACTATGTGTAAATTTTTTTTACCAAAATACTTCTAATTTAAATAAAAAATTGTTTAAAGTCATATGATATGTATGTTTTATTTTTAAAATATATATATTACATTTTTGCTAAACGCATTTTCATAAAAAAAATTTGCTAGTCATTTGAAAAAATTGATAAGAAATACAAATTAAAAGCCTATATGTTATTTAAGAATATAATAAATATAATTTAAAAAATAATGAGAAATTGAAAAATCAAACTATTATATAAAAATTGACTTATTTATCCTAATTTATAAATGAGTAAGAAAAGAATTGGCTCTAGTTGTGTAACCCTAATAACAGTTAAGGAGCTAAGTTCTCCTCTTTTGACTTTGAGTTAAAAAAATATGTTCTCTTCTTTTGATTTTTTAAGTTTGAATCTTAGAATAATGTTAAGAAAATTTATTAAATTTATTTTAATGCATCACATCAATATTAAAAAATATATCTTATGTAATTATTAATCCGTAAAGCATCTTAGAGAACATATCTTTTGATAATATTAATACTATCATCTAGTGTAAAATATTTTATATCAATCAAATATAAAAATATTTTACATAAAACAAATGCTACTAACTAAAATTATGAATAATTTATCTTTTGTTCAACCATACAGTAAGCCTTTTTTTAGATCATGCAAAAACATCGATCATAAATGAATGCTTTTCTCTAACGTTTACAATTTACATAATTAATCAAAAAGTGATATCTATTCATTTTCATCCTATTTATATGTCAGCTAAATACGAGGCATTACACAGTAATTAAACACTCCCAATCAAAAAAAATGATTTTTTATCAGAAGAAATAAAAGGAAAAGAAAGGGAAAAAAAGATAATATAACATGGAAATTGAAAGCATATCTCTCTCCCTCTCTCCTCCACCTCTTTCTCCACCCCCACAAGTCAATACCCCAACGGCCATCATCAACTACCACCACTGATACCCTAGTGCACGTAAAAACCTATGTTCTCAACAACTATCAAATAAAATTGTAGCGCTACCATTGTCTCCTTTGTCACATTAATTGTGACCAAATTTCACTCCTCATTTTTCAATAGAGTTTTGGTTTGGGTTTGAATTTTCGCGTTTGTTATGTGTTGGTGATTTGACAATGGCTATGATTTTAATGATTTTTACAATTTATGAATCCATAAGTCACGAGTGGATTGGTCATATATTGATGATTTGACAGTGATTATGAATTTAATGATTTTTACAATTTATGGATCAACTAATCACGAGTGGATTGGTATTTTTTTTAAAGATCTAATTTTTTGTTAGGTTGATAAATCTAATCAATTCATTCACTGTCTTTATTTTTATTAATTCCAAAAAAGATTTCATCTAGACCATCAACTATTAAAATTGATTAAGTTCAGGTAATGAATATTGAATTATCCCTAAATTTATCTCCATATAAGTGATAAAAAGAGGAAATACAGATAGACAGGCTTGCATAAACTCAACTCATGACAGTAAAAATAGGAGGCAGACAAGTAAAGCAAAGAAGCCTGCTAATCGCATATGAGTTTCCTTATTTCTGACGAGGATTATGATTTTGGTAAGATAGGTGACACGGAAATATCTATCAAACTGGATCTGTGTTGCCACCAAAAGATAGCTGATGACACACTACCATTGTCCTAACATCCTAGGATTGGGGTTAATGCATCTATTGTGAGTTAAAAGCTTTTGAAGCATTTGTCGTGAAAAGCTGCTTCCAGCATTATCACAATCAAAGCATGCGCATATGCAAAGTAATTAATAAGAACATAGCTAGACCACTCCGACCCCAAGAATTATTGAATGAAACTACTTTTGTTGCTAATAATTAATATGTAATTCTGACAATAGATCTCAATCTCTAGCATCACATATACCTTCTCCTTTTGAAAAAAATAAAAAACCGAACAGATGAACTGAATAGATCTCAATCTGTTTACGTTTATCTTAAAATATTTATTAAATTAAAGTTTTTAATATTGTATTTTTTTTAAATACCACTATTTTGTAATACATAATTAAATTAGACAGATTTTTTCTGTAAATAAAAATGAATATTTTGAAAAAATATATTGTTAAAAAAATGCCAATATAACAATTATAATCAATAAATTTTTTAAACTGTATAAAAAATCAAATGAAATTATTATTTTAGGACAAAGAGAGTATATTCTTTCACTTTCTAGATGAACAACCCATCCATTGTTTTTGTTTTTTCAAAAATGAGTAAGAAAAGAATTGACTCTAGCAGTTCTGTTACCCTAACTGCAGTTGAGGAGTTAAAGTTATCCTCTTTTGACTTTGAATTAAAAAGATACGTTTTCTCCTTTTGATTTTTCAATTTCGAATCTTGGAATCAATATTAAGAAAATTTATTAAATTTATGTTAATCCATCAAATCGATATTAGAGATGCTATTCTTAAAATGGTAAAAAATAATAATAATAATAATAATCGAAAGCAAAATGAGTTCTGCTTGGTTTGATTGCAAATACAAGCTAATCGAACAACAACAAAATCAGGGTTCTCCAGAGCTCCTTTGCTGTTTGGTTGATTATTAATTGAGTGTTGAGCGAAAGCTGCATATTTTCTGTTTTTCATGTACCATTTGGCTAGAGAGATTATACGTGCAATTATTTAAGAACGTCTGCGCATGCAGGCGGATGATCTCCCAACATATAACCCAACGTTAACTCTATATTAATATTTGGTTATTTATTTCTTTCTCAGATATGGCAATTCAGCTCAAAACTACAAGAAACTTGGGCAACATTTACCGCCCAAAAGTAAGTCTCTCTCGTGTTATAGCAAAAGCCCGACCATTTTCTCTCTCAGGAACCAAATATCTGGAGGTGATCAAAGTCTATGTAGAAAGTACGTATTTCCATTGGGGCAAGCTCCACCACTAGCTTGGTAGGATCAACAGGTCCTCCCCTCATCACCTTGGATTCTTCTCCAGCGGAGCCTTCTACTTTCCAAATCAACCTCTTCTTCTCCATTTCAGTCCTTTCTTGATTGGCAGATAAACTCAATTCTGTAACTATATCTACCTGGAAAAAAAAAAAAAAAAGAACATGGCCTTGATATCAAAAATCAAATGCTTACTGCTCTTAAAAAGAACCGTCCACCCATTAAAAGAGCTCATTCTACTAATAATTGCCTACTGCTTTTACCTTCTTATTTGGAAATAGCTTTTTCAATTCCACCTGTGCCACGACTGAATAGTCCTTGTCTTCCCCAGTCTTCTCACACACCATGCCAACCAAGAACAAGAATTAGATTGAACGTTGTTGTTCTAATGCAGCACAAGAGAAAAAACAAGTGACAGAGTGCAGTGCATTGCCACTACAAAGTTCCCTCTTCAAGAGTAAGCTAAAAGCAAACGAGAATTCATTCTAATAGGAGTGACAAAAGCAGCAAGTAGATAGTAGGCAAAGAGCAAAAGGGAGCAACAGGTTGGTCCAAACACAGCTTGAGTTAGTTTCCTTTTTAAAGAAGGCAATACATAGATGAATAGTTAAGAGAGATAAGAGACAAGCTACAACCTCATATAGGTGAGCCAACCGAAGGAGCACTTTTCCATTGTCAAGTTCCTGTTAAGAAAAGCAACAAATCTTAATTTCGCCCACACTTGTAAGAAGAGGAATTGCTTATCAGAAAAATATTCAAGAGGAATTTTTCTTGCTTACCTGGAGTGTTATGACAGCAACATTATTAGGTAATGAGTAAGATGGATCAATTCCTGAAAAAGTTGGTAGCGGGAAATTCATATGGTTACTTCCATCCTGCAAAACAGCAAATTGATCACATAAGCATTACAGCCTCAAGTAACCACGTCAACTTCAGATTTTTTTTTTTTTTACCTGCTCTGCAAAGGCCAATAGAACTGGGGAAAAGATCTCTTGTCCAACTGTTCGACGCCACTTGGCACCTTCTCCCAGTTGATCAATTCTGAGAAAGAACTTTCCTTGGATCTGCAAAAGTACATGTCACATCAAGACAGAATATGTATTTCAATTTACAAAAGCCCCTAACAAGGGCCAAAACCCTAAAACCATGAACATAATAGGTATTTGTTGAATGGCACTTGTGAATATGAGCTTATAACATATGCTTACAGTTAAACCTTCACATCCATCCAAGACACAGACTGTCTCATTCAACACTTCACCAACACCTCTTGAATCATCATGAAGCAACCTCCTATAAAATGAAAGTCATTAGAGATCATCGCAACACAAGTAAATCTGATTGGAAAGGGGAAAGGCACTAATATAGTGACCAACCTATGGAGCATTAGCTCTATTTGACCATCCACTAAGCTAGATCCTCCCACTGAGCGGTCCACCAGCACCGAGAGCTCTGTGCTGTTGTCTTGAACATAAATTCCAAGGTTTACCTATAAAATTA